TTAAATTATTCTGATTGAAGATAGAAGACAGTCATTTTGTTGAACTGATCATAAACAACAGCGCACTGTATAACCATAATGATAACTATCGAGTGAGGCCTATATACACGTATGCAATTAGGTCATGACTGTGGAGATCAATAGCGGAGATAAAAGTTCAGTGTAATTATCTTAGTATACATCACCGGACTCTAATTATACCGAGGTCTAACGATACCTGCGGTAATGACATCGGCAACATTGATACTCATCGATTTCTACCGAAACTACCACATTCCTAGGCTACTATTGAACTAAAGCAGGAAAGGTTAACCAGAAGCGGAAGTGGTAGAATAGGGGAAATGTTCTTACTTTGACATTTAGGTTGTAATTACGGAAATGATGAAGATACAAACATATTTTTGTCGGTATTGCCTGTCTCGTAATTTAAGGTTATGCCACCGAACACAAGTCATAATATTTCAGAAACAGTTTTATGGCACATATTTAGTACTCTGTTCAGTACTGGTTCGCTCCCCAAGTCCAACAGTCAAACAGTTAAACCGTGTTACAAAGATTACATTTCGTGCAAAGTTTATGTTAATTTGTATATGTTGCTATTTTACACCAGCGTGCTTTCAGCAATTTTTGAGTTATTTTTCAAGGTTATTCAAGATAGGCCTCACACAGGGTTTGAAAGGCTCTTTGGCACAAGACATTGTTAGCGTTGTTCTACTTTGGGTTGGCTCTACAATTTAATTGTCTTTTTTTCCACAATGCCATCTTCTTCTTGAATGTTACAGCAAAGCCGCTATGATACCCATCCCATATTTGTTGAGAAGAAATAAATACTTTATTTGGTAAAGCATGCTTTGACGATCGAATCGGAATGTATGACATGTTCCGTATATACCAATAGTGTATTGTATATTTCGACTTGTTACTTTACACGTTAGGACAGTTAACACAGTGTTTTGCCGTTATAGAGATGTTTGTAAGACGCTGCCTTTGTTCGCGGATATTTCGACTTGTTAATTTACACGTTAGGACAGTTAACACAGTGTTTTGCCGTTATAGAGATGGTTGTAAGACGCTGCCTTTGTTCGCGGATATTTTGACTTGTTACTTTACACGTTAGGACAGTTAACACAGTGTCTTGCCGTTATAGAGATGGTTGTAAGACGCTGCCTTTGTTCGCGGATATTTCGACTTGTTACTTTACACGTTAGGACAGTTAACACAGTGTTTTGCCGTTATAGAGATGGTTGTAAGACGCTGCCTTTGTTCGCGGATATTTCGACTTGTTACTTTACACGTTAGGACAGTTAACACAGTGTTTTGCCGTTATAGAGATGGTTGTAAGACGCTGCCTTTGTTCGCGGATATTTCGACTTGTTACTTTACACGTTAGGACAGTTAACACAGTGTTTTGCCGTTATAGAGATGGTTGTAAGACGCTGCCTTTGTTCGCGGATATTTCGACTTGTTACTTTACACGTTAGGACAGTTAACACAGTGTTTTGCCGTTATAGAGATGGTTGTAAGACGCTGCCTTTGTTCGCGGATATTTCGACTTGTTACTTTACACGTTAGGACAGTTAACACAGTGTTTTGCCGTTATAGAGATGGTTGTAAGACGCTGCCTTTGTTCGCGGATATTTCGACTTGTTACTTTACACGTTAGGACAGTTAACACAGTGTTTTGCCGTTATAGAGATGGTTGTAAGACGCTGCCTTTGTTCGCGGATATTTCGACTTGTTACTTTACACGTTAGGACAGTTAACACAGTGTTTTGCCGTTATAGAGATGGTTGTAAGACGCTGCCTTTGTTCGCGGATATTTCGACTTGTTACTTTACACGTTAGGACAGTTAACACAGTGTTTTGCCGTTATAGAGATGGTTGTAAGACGCTGCCTTTGTTCGCGGATATTTCGACTTGTTACTTTACACGTTAGGACAGTTAACACAGTGTTTTGCCGTTATAGAGATGGTTGTAAGACGCTGCCTTTGTTCGCGGATATTTCGACTTGTTACTTTACACGTTAGGACAGTTAACACAGTGTTTTGCCGTTATAGAGATGGTTGTAAGACGCTGCCTTTGTTCGCGGATATTTCGACTTGTTACTTTACACGTTAGGACAGTTAACACAGTGTTTTGCCGTTATAGAGATGGTTGTAAGACGCTGCCTTTGTTCGCGGATATTTCGACTTGTTACTTTACACGTTAGGACAGTTAACACAGTGTTTTGCCGTTATAGAGATGGTTGTAAGACGCTGCCTTTGTTCGCGGATATTTCGACTTGTTACTTTACACGTTAGGACAGTTAACACAGTGTTTTGCCGTTATAGAGATGGTTGTAAGACGCTGCCTTTGTTCGCGGATATTTCGACTTGTTACTTTACACGTTAGGACAGTTAACACAGTGTTTTGCCGTTATAGAGATGGTTGTAAGACGCTGCCTTTGTTCGCGGATATTTCGACTTGTTACTTTACACGTTAGGACAGTTAACACAGTGTTTTGCCGTTATAGAGATGGTTGTAAGACGCTGCCTTTGTTCGCGGATATTTCGACTTGTTACTTTACACGTTAGGACAGTTAACACAGTGTTTTGCCGTTATAGAGATGGTTGTAAGACGCTGCCTTTGTTCGCGGATATTTCGACTTGTTACTTTACACGTTAGGACAGTTAACACAGTGTTTTGCCGTTATAGAGATGGTTGTAAGACGCTGCCTTTGTTCGCGGATATTTCGACTTGTTACTTTACACGTTAGGACAGTTAACACAGTGTTTTGCCGTTATAGAGATGGTTGTAAGACGCTGCCTTTGTTCGCGGATATTTCGACTTGTTACTTTACACGTTAGGACAGTTAACACAGTGTTTTGCCGTTATAGAGATGGTTGTAAGACGCTGCCTTTGTTCGCGGATATTTCGACTTGTTACTTTACACGTTAGGACAGTTAACACAGTGTTTTGCCGTTATAGAGATGGTTGTAAGACGCTGCCTTTGTTCGCGGATATTTCGACTTGTTACTTTACACGTTAGGACAGTTAACACAGTGTTTTGCCGTTATAGAGATGGTTGTAAGACGCTGCCTTTGTTCGCGGATATTTCGACTTGTTACTTTACACGTTAGGACAGTTAACACAGTGTTTTGCCGTTATAGAGATGGTTGTAAGACGCTGCCTTTGTTCGCGGATATTTCGACTTGTTACTTTACACGTTAGGACAGTTAACACAGTGTTTTGCCGTTATAGAGATGGTTGTAAGACGCTGCCTTTGTTCGCGGATATTTCGACTTGTTACTTTACACGTTAGGACAGTTAACACAGTGTTTTGCCGTTATAGAGATGGTTGTAAGACGCTGCCTTTGTTCGCGGATATTTCGACTTGTTACTTTACACGTTAGGACAGTTAACACAGTGTTTTGCCGTTATAGAGATGGTTGTAAGACGCTGCCTTTGTTCGCGGATATTTCGACTTGTTACTTTACACGTTAGGACAGTTAACACAGTGTTTTGCCGTTATAGAGATGGTTGTAAGACGCTGCCTTTGTTCGCGGATATTTCGACTTGTTACTTTACACGTTAGGACAGTTAACACAGTGTTTTGCCGTTATAGAGATGGTTGTAAGACGCTGCCTTTGTTCGCGGATATTTCGACTCGTTACTTTACACGTTAGGACAGTTAACACAGTGTTTTGCCGTCATATAGATGGTTGTAAGACGTTGCCTTTGTTCGCGGATATTTCGACTTGTTACTTTACTCGTTAGGACAGTTAACACAGTGTTTTGCCGTTATAGAGATGGTTGTAAGACGCTGCCTTTGTTCGCGGATATTTCGACACAACACAGTATGAGTTTCGTAGGTAATTGATCATTCACACGCTAGCAAAAACATGTCCTGAGTTGACAATCTAAGTTAAACGAGATTCTTTCTCACTCGTTTTATACCTCTGTTCTTAATTACTTTCTCTCCAAACCTGAGCCGGAAATCCATGGTTTTACTGTGAAAAGAGCAATATGTTTCCCCTAGGGCAACAGCGCGTTCTGAAGTCACAATGTGACGTTATGCGGCTAAAAATCCATTACTGATTGTGCCGTGATATCGCTCCACAACTTCTTCGTCAGCGAAGCATCGTAAAAGTGATGAGGGTATTGCAAATCAAGATTTACTAGTAAACATAATAATGAGTAACACATATGACTAGATATATTACAATTGTTGTCATAGCTACAATCCCGTTCCCATCTCAAATGCTTACAGGAGCTATCGTTAGAGTACAATCTGCCAGTAATCGGTGTGATATCTAATAGATCACGCGTGTGTGATTGAAGTAGGGACATTAAAATAGACGCAGTGTCAACACGTAAATCATCTTACCACCCCATGTCAAGCTGATTAAACATACAGAAAACATGTTACTGCCGATTATTGTCATTAGTTCTGCACTTTGCAGACGATACACGGAAAGTAAATTATTAGTAACGAAAATTCTCAGATACCAATAAACAGTTTAACTCAAATCCGCAGTTTTCTAAAGATATAGATTACATGAACATATGTAGGCTCGGCGAAGGAGTTTACCTGCTGTACCCCACGCCCGGTTATAGAAGCGGCGACTAATGTGTAGGCCCTTACAGAGCCTGAACTATTTCCAGTGTCTTCTACTTAAGGGACATTGACAAAACCAAAGTGATCTGCTTCCACCACTACAGTACTTAGCACCTGTACCCTCTCTTTCTCTCCTACGTAATCTAAATATATTCTAGTATATTAGTATATTATACAAGTATAAATATATTCTAGTATATTAGTATATTATACTAGTATAAATATATTCTAGCATATTTGTATATTATACTAGTATAAATATATTCTACAGTGTCCACTAGACACCCGCCTTTGTAGAATCTTAACTGTTGTGAGAATGGTAAACTCTGATAAACACAAATAAGCATTGTTTAAATTATACTGCAATGAATTTCCACCTCATTTTTTCTGATTTTCTCTTCAGGTCGTTTCAGAATCTGCGCTTAAAGAAGCAAAAGAGCTAATTCTGAATGCCTTCGACGAAAATCGAGATGGCAAAATCGATATTGCCGAGGTAAGTAATCAATAAAAAAAAAATGTTCTTTTTAATCTTCAAAATATTTTTTTCTTCAAAATTTGTAGAGGCTTATTTAGCATTAGTCTAAGTACTAAATGTAATATGTATCTATTTTGATATATTTTAGCTTGCACAAATCCTGCCAACAGAAGAAAACTTCCTGTTGTTATTCCGAAGAGACCATCCACTTGACTCAAGTGTGGAGTTTATGAAGGTAAGGTGGTAATCTCCCTGCGTCACACTGATATCTCCCCTGTCTTCCTGTTTTATATCACGCACGATTAAAATCTCATATTTATTCTTTTTCTCGTGAACGATCCTTAGCGTTTTATTTTCTCAGACTGCTGGCTAGGCTTGAGAATACTGACCACATGTTTTGTAAACCATATTGCTACATATTCAATAGCCTTAGTCTTAGCCTATTGTTATAAAATATATAAACACATCATAACCTCTTTTTATTTCAACCCAACATACCCTTCTTTTTATAAAAACACAAAATAACATTATTTTTATATAAACGAAGATAATATCAAATTTGATCTTATATTTTATTTAACAGACTGTATCCAGTCTAGTTATGTTCGGGAAATCTTCTTGGTTTAAACTTTGTTTTATTCAATTTTTTTTGATAATACATCGAAGTACATGTTTTATAGAACAGTAAAGGAAACAAAAACAAGTGTCAATACACTTGTGTAAACCTGTTACCCGCTTGATAATCAACTTTTCAACACTAGCTACAGGAATGAAGTAATATGTACAACAGAACAAATACGGGAATAGGGTTAATGGATTGGTATGCAGTGGAAACCAGGGATGAATAGCATACATATGATCATCAGATGGTACATATATATATGTAATATCATATTGCTATATTGCAATGAGTATCTAGAACACGATTCTGTAAAATATAACTATGCAATAGGAGATGAAAATTTCAGCAATGTTGTAAATGGACACTCGATAAAGGTTCAAATGTATCTACAAGTTACATAGCATAAATTACCACTAAATCAACTATTGACAAAATTAGTATGTCACAAAGCACCGCCATGATTATTAAAAACGTTGCAGTTCACATACAAGCCATCCCACTTATCAAATATAAGTCCATAAAACACTTTCCCTGGCACGTCCTACTCTTTCAAGGTAACACATCACTTTATCAAACTATCATAATCATGGCATAATATGGTATAAAGAAATGCAATGGCAAAATCACTGAATAAGTATATAAATCCAAATACATTTTAAAACATAGTAGTAAAACGAATGCAACACAACATACATATATATATGTCAAAATGAAATTGTAAAGGGACTATTCGTTAATTTGAAATCTTTTAGTTTTGAGTATACAATTTTGGACGGCTAGAAAAATTTAGTGTTTTCTTGATGGGTTAATGAGTCATCACCAAAGAGTAAAAGATCAGTAGATAGTTGATACGGCAAACTCAGAATATGAAGCTGTCTAAGTGCTGTATATTTATTACATCTTCTTCGATCTTCTTCGTTATATGGCTTCACGAACTCGTTCCTTACGTATATTTTATATTTTACCTCCATTCATTCTTTGGAACATATATTTTTGCCGATTTTTAATACTTTGTGAAAAATGTTTTAATAAATAAATATCTATATATTGACACACATGTGCACAAAACAGATAGAAACTTGATCATTTTCACTCTCTGATACTCAGCCATCTCCTTACGTATCTGTCAGTACCAAACATATCCTAAAGGCGTCTTGACGAGGATCGTGACAGATCAATGCTTACAATCACGAACTACATTTAAACCCTGCACATGATATATTTTGACGATTTTTTTTAATTTCCTCACATTAATGCAAACTGATTTGTTTACACATGGGATCATTGCAATTTGGACGCAAATATCATCAACACTCCCAGTTTATGAAATATGAGCTAAATTGTAATGATGCAATTTGTAAAGCAATCCTAGTTGTTTTCATTGGAAACAGTTTTTCGGCCGCAGATCTATAACGATAGGAGATAAATATTTGACGGTAAAAATGCGATCGGTAACATAATGGGATGTCGTGATGAACACATGGCGCAATAGTAAGGGGTTTCGTTAGTAAACAGCTAATTCCAATTTTAAAACCCTGCTTCATTTCACAAGTAATTGGTTGTTTATTGTCTTAATATCGTTATTTTTAGTCCCAAAATTTGAGTTACAATTATAAATATTAAATGTTTTAGAATTATATTACAAAACATGCAATAAAAGAACAGTTCAATCGAACTGTTTAGTTAGCTTAACAAATTCAAGGTTAATTAAATTTTATTCTTGTCATCACAACATCCGGGTTCTTAATGCGAAGAATACCAATTATCAGAGGGCGATATGGCGACGTGATTTAATATGAATATATCCTCCGGTGGTATGGTTATTTTCATCCGAGTGTTTTCGTGTGACACGTCACGAACGCAAGTATATATTTAATTCCATTATCGCCATATTCCCTGTCAACCGGTGTTTTGAAATCCAAAACATAGCGATCAAGTTCAAGTAGATTGCGACTCTACTTATCATTTCAAATTTTTGAGAGAGAAAATTATCTATGTTCAAATGGATTTTTTGGAAATATTTTTCTTCTCTATACGTCCATTTCGTATTGTTCTGCACTCGATTACACTGTTCCGGTCCATATTCATCACTACTGCAAAGCTTTATCATACTTAAGGTATAACAAAAGAGGGTTATTTACGGGATAATTTTTTCGTGTTGTTCTATTTCCCCGTTATGCCGTCAATATAAATAGAAGAGTTATGCTAATTTGTTTTAGATTGTAGTGGTCAACAACAGGTGCAGGATGAGTGATCCTAATTTGATGATATTGGCGATTTTTTTGTAAACAATATATGTGAGCAAGGTAACTATATATACATGTGTTTTTGCATATGCATTTTTAAAAACACAAATCTACAAATTAGTTTGTAGTTTATATTTATGTAAGCTCTCTACATTCTTAGTGTTTATAATCTCATCAACAGCACACAAAAGAAGAGCCAAGTCGTACGTGAACGTGAACTGTTATTTATTCATAAAGTGACGACTGGAATATGGTTTGTTAAGCATACTTGCTCGTTCGCGGCGATATCAAATATATACAGGAAGTATGTCATTTCCGGTGTAACAAAGTAGACAAAACGTGAAGTCACTGTATGCGACTTTGTATATTCGTTATCCTTTAAACGACAATGGCGGAACAGCCCTATTCAAATAAAATTGGCGCCAATAATTAACCGTAGTCATGTGAGCGTTTGACGCAGGGGCATTCGCCATGTTATCCTAAGCGAAGCGACAAGACTCTCATTGATCAACGTTAATCTATGACGTCATAAGTAAACCACGTGTTACTTCACGAGAGTTTCTGATTTCTTACTCAAATTTGCAGTGCCTCTGTACCAACTGAAAATGTTTGCACGATTCAATAAAAGCAAGTGTGTAGTGATATTAACAGTACTACATGAACCGTTGCATGACCTCTGTCACGTCGCGGACGTGTCCTTAGATTGGCCTAGAATATGGAATGACCATGATTTTGAATCAAGGCACATCATATTTATGTCGGGCCACCGAAGCGTGTCCGCTATTAGATCCTATAACAGGTCATTTTCAACAGAACAGAATAATTCACTGTCCCTTACACTAGCGTCAGTTGTAAGTGGCAAAGCAGGTGAAATCGTCCCGGCTCGTCGACCAGTCCCCTCATCGACAGTAACACATGCCAAATGCTCAAACGATGAGCTAATCCTGTTGACACAGTCGATCGACACATAACATTCAGACAACAACATGCTTTAAATCGTTATCTGGTTTCTTAGGAAACTTAGGAAACTCCACATCTCGTTGGAAGCGTAGCCGATGCACAACCGTTTTTAACGGTCAGCTATCTCCGCAAACACGGAATAAATTTCTGACTTTTTACAATTAAAATATTTGACAAGGTATTTTTGTTTTAAATTCAAATCTACTATCAATTTTTAAGATAATCAATGCTTGTAAAACATGCTGGTAATATAAATTAAATCATTAAAAAATATACAAAGTGGAACTATTTGTTTATTGCTCAACTGTTTTTTCGTCATCGTTGACAACGCATCATCTTTCCCACGAAAAAGGCTGTTCAATTAATGTTGTTTTCATGACGGTGTTTTGCTTTTTAACGTGAAAAGAAGACACTTTTTTCTAAATTTCAAATAATAAAAGTGGATGCAATAGAACGTTAATATAAGGTTTGAAATGCATCTTTTTTACATTTATGAGGGTATGCTACACAGTTCCGTTCAAACATATTCTCCAAGATGCGCTAACGCACATCATGGATTATGTTTGAACGGAACTGTGTTGCATACCCTTATAAATGTTAAAAAGATGCATTTTAAACCTTAAATATTTCAATTCTTACTCAAGTTGTACTCAATTCAACTACCAAATGTAACCTGTTTCATTTGGCGATGAATTGACCAGATTGACATTGCTTGTGCGTAAGATTTTGTGAAATGACATGTTTAAACAAAGATACAACTTGATGAGATTTCACATTTTTATTGAAGCAACACAAGAAATTGATCAACCAACCAAAAACGATCAATCATCAAAATATTATCAGCTCACGGTTGCAAGCGGTAGTGACAAGTCATGTGCAGCCCTAGAAATTCTCCCTCCAGCTACCCATTCTGCCTTGTGTCGGTATCAACCCCCGATGCAAATTGATCCACAGGGGTTCGTTACAAATGTCTGGAATACACATAATGACATATCGTGCTATAACTGATATGGGCCACAGCACACATATGTATGCTGTGACCTTTATCAGTATAGCATATGTGTATAAATGTATTTGTATGTGTGGTGTGACTCATATCAGTATAGCATGTGTATTTCAGACATTTGTAACGAACCCCTGTTGTAGATCCATGTTGCCCCGTCTTATATGAAATACAGTCGAACAGCCAAATGTCATATAAAATGTTTCGTCCTTTCAAGCCACGGCTGGTGTCCTGTCTAATTCGACATTCAATTACTGCAGCTTCACATTCCAGAAGATATAGAACCTCGAAATTTAGCGGCTCTCCACTTCGACCCAGTAAAAAGATGGCTGCCTTAGACTCGCAGCTGAGCCTGCGCACCGCGTCTAGACATTATTTTTCCCCGATGACATATCAGAAAATTTGATATCTTATGAATTTATCATCAAAAATTAAACATGACATTTAAAATGTGGTTTTGTGTTTTGTTTCTACATAATTTGGCTGTATTAAACTATCAACGTACACCATCATGTTGTATGATGGTCCTTCAATGACGGACTATATTTTTTTTACATTACGTCAATACGTAGACTTGCACAAGCTCCAGAACCTGTAAAAAAATATCAGAATGGACTTCAAAAGTCCCAATTATTGAAGGGAAAAAAACACGTTGATTGAAATATAAGGATTAAATATTACTTTGGTCGATTTCATGGGGTGATGAATTGAGTTGGTCAAATTCAACATTAACGCAGTTCATTAAATTTGTTTCAAGACCAACTCAATTCATCACCCCATGAAATCGACCACAGCAAATTAAATCCTTAAATGAAATGCATTTCTGCTGTTAATGTTCATATAGTGGGTTGCAGTGCAAATGTATGCAATTGGTACTCATATTGTATCTTTCGCTTACAACTGATAATTTATTTGGAAAGAGTTTAATGTTGCATTGTATTGAAATTAATTATAACTTACGTCAAAGAACAGTATCTACCAACCAACGTGTTGATACGTGTCGTTTCATAGATACTAGTTTCCGGAACAGAAATCGCTTGATTTGGCTTTCACATGTTACATTGAGGGGGCTTGAACGTGTATTCACCTGATGGAGAGGTAAAACAGTGACAAGCCAACGACGTCGAAGAGTAAGAATTACGTCAGAAAACAGTCGATAATTATTGTAGTTTACTGGAAGCATACAGGTCCCCACGTGACATGTTATCTAAAACACAGTCGAATGCAGAGAGCAAAAATGTCTCGAAAACGACGCATACATTTTAAATAGTTCAATATGTATTACTTAATACGACGCTTTAGTCCACTGTATCACACGTGGGTCTGTACCATCAGTGTGATCGTGGTATACACACGCTTTGTTAGTGTCCGTGATTTGGGTGCGGGAGAGGGGAAAGCGTCCTTATATCGTCCTGTTTGAACAGTGCAAGGTAATTTTGAAATGCATAATGGAACATTTCAAATGCACAACAGCAAATATTTGTATACGTTAGCAAAATATGTATCATATATGTAATTAGTTCTGATGCTATCACCTCGGCCATTTTGATATTGACAATTCCATTACAAACAAGAAATAGCGCATGTCTATACCGGGATTCATCGATAATGACCGGGTACCCTGTCTCTATATACACATCAATAAACTTATAAGCTTAATTACTCGAGGGGGTTTCGCTGTCAACATGTATGTAAGGCGATTCAATACTCCATATACATGGTATCAGTGACCTTCAACTGTGGATATGTGACCAAGCAAAACAATGTAACGGGAGAGTTATTTATTTTCTGGGGTAGCAATGAAATAATCATACATTATCAAATTGCCTGCCGTAATGTCACTGGTATTGTAAAACGAACTCACCTCACAAGGCCCCGAGTCCTATGGATAGTGTAGAGTGCCCTTTTAATATACCAATATCGTCTTGCTAGCGGGAGATCGGTGACGATGGGATACAGAAACACACAGAGATGGATATAAAACCTTTATATCAAAACTCTACATGATACATATACAAAACCGATGTTTTACTTGTAACGTGCATATCAACTGCCAACATATCACACTTCATGGTATTTAGGTAGTGTGTTTCTGTGCCAGAGCATTTCAAATAAAAAGTTTTACTTCTCAGACCACAGAACCAAAAATACTTTGATAATGATTTGTGTACATATTGTATGCACGTACATCGTCAAAAACAGTTATGTTTAGATCAGCGATCCAAAGCATCATAATCATTTAAGCGATAGAGAAGCAGAACGCCAAATGTTTCATTGGCTAATAAAATCACGTGGCATCCTAACCGAACATGTATTATTTTGCATTAATATGACAGGTGCATATCAGGTAACTGGTGCAAATACATATATATATATACATAATTAATATACTGTGCATATGGAACTCCGTGTAAGTTGTAAATTACAATATTTGTCCGTTTAAGTGATTTACGTGAGTGGTTTATCAGCAACACTATATTCCATCTTGCTATATTCGTTTAGTAAATGAATCTATTCATATATTGAACCTGTGAACTACAATATATAATCTGATTGATATAGTTTAAACAAATAATATTTGGTTTTGGTTTTATATTGTTGAACTTCCTTTAACGACTAAGATCATTTAAGGTCGTTCTTCAATGTGTTTAATGTATGTGTGCTTGTGTGCTATAACGGTATGATGGTGTATTTGTCTCATAGCGATAGCGCAGATCTGATGCCGATTCCATAACGCCACCTTACTAAAATGCCATGCCGTAGGCACCCAGTTCCCATTATACCGACAAAAAACAGAATTGTATCTCCGTATGACTATGTAGTTAATGTTTCGAAACCTTTATGGTGTAACTGTGTAAATCATACGAAGCTGTGCCGAGTTTATATTAATCAGTTATGAAAGGATGCAGGAAACGCTTAGTATTTAGGAGCACCTGGTTTAGTTGGGGGAATTTAGAGATGTCACACTATTTTACGTATTTATTTATTTTTCATTTATTTTTAAGTATCTTTTGACAATGTGGACATTTTGTTTTGTCTTACTTGTATCGTTGAATACCCGAGATATCTAAACAGTTGCTGTATCAACCTTAGTAAGTCACGCACTTCCTTAAAATGTCTGCTCCCAAAACAGGGGGACATATTCGAAAACGAAGGAAAAAGCATGTGCACGTTAATTAACATTGTATCAAATTATCCAAAATTGTGCTGATCATCAACTGATCCTCTATCTCATGTGCTGCCGTCTAAATTGTTGCTTGGCTAAGAATGATAAACGATAAAATAGCAATTAATTCACGAGATTGTTCGCAGTTTCTTTTCGAATTTTATGACTAAATTAGTTTTTTTATCACTTTATTGTTTATAGCACACATTGTTACTGGGTGTGAATGAGCTGATCGTTGCATAAATAACCTATTATGTATTAAGTGAGCCTATAATATTTTTTATAGGTATGGCGAGAGTTCGATTCAGATCACAGTGGATTTATTGAGGCTGACGAACTAAAGGTGAGGCGCGGAACTACGGACAATAAATCCGGGATTAATAAAAATGTTTATAGCAGTGATAAATCCTCTTTATGTGAAACATAAAATCCGGTGTGTATCATCAAGAACACAGGAATAATTGTATCTGCGACTATTATCCCAATTCTTATCATCCGATTTGGCAATTATTTCCTAAATATCAAGAAAACATTCTTTGCTTCTAAATTCCAAATCACTCAAATTTGACTTAAATATGAAGCTTGCATTTTATAAAATGATAAAAAATCAAAAGATAGCAGATTTAAGAGACCTCTATTCGTGTAAGTGTAGACATCACATTAATTTATTGTTTTGTTTACTGTAAAGATAGATGCACGGTGATTTAACACAGCACCAAATGCATTGTATTATTTTAAACGATTTTATCTAAAGACAAAAAGGGAAGTTGATAAGTATACGATATCATGCATTCAATAATGTGCAAACTACGCAAACTGTTCATTTTTGTAGTAAACGAGATAAGTAGATGTGTACAAGTTTCCGGGTCAATTTTCTGTACTTTACTAGTGCATACAGTATCAGAGGGACTGAATTAAGAACATTTATTGCTATCAGACATTATGTATATATAACGTTTGTATATTTTGTACCGGTCTAAGGAGATGTACACTTATTTCTTTACAGAACTTTCTGCGACACTTGTTGAAGCAGAAGAAGCGAGAGTACACCATAACCGAGGAACAGCTCACGATATACACCGGGACAGTGGTACGTATTGGCGGTCCACAGAACAATGAAATGCAATCTGCTGCCATGGAAAAGCTTTCTTAATATTTACAGGTGTCCTCTTTTTCGAATATCACTCAATGAAGCTAAGTAATAACTAAAGGTGGGGGCTATCATGTTAAAGAGACTGAACATAATAATAATGATAATAATAATTCGAGGTGTTTATATACCGCTTTACCACAACCTAGTTCGTAGGTCGTCTCAAAGTGGTTGACACATTATTATCCGTGGTTATAGAGCCTTCGCAACCAGCCAATACCTTTCTCAAATCCCTGGGGAGCATTCAGTCAGTGCTGCCATTTCGTCGCTCACAGCAAGCATTCAACAATTCTAGCACTGCCCAACAATGTCCTCATGTACAACTGGGTAGACTGGAACATGTATAAGTATCTGTGATACAGGTAACACAGAACAATAGGTTGGTTACATACCCAGATCGTTATTCCAAGTACAACCGTTATAATGGATTGAATGGGAAAAAGCTAAAGACACATGTATTTGTTCTTCTACTGGTCTTGTTTATTTGTGTATACTCGATCACTACATTCCATCTTGCATTTGATGAAATTTGAATAGGTCATAATGGCCTGCTGTCAACAGCATCCCCCTCTTCCCAATTAAAATGTTCCACATAGTGCCACAATTACACAAACTCGTAATTAAGACAAATGTTCGTTTAATTACCTTCACATATATTGTTGACAAAAGGATTGTTAATTCTATACTACAGCTCCAGCTTTTTGACCGCAACAAAGACGGGAAACTCCAACTTAGTGAGATGGCAAAGTAAGTAGCCCGGTTTCAGCAAAATGAATACGTAAACAGTAAAATTGATAATTCTATAAAATAAATAGTAGCCGTACTGCAAAGTAAAAGATATATGTCAGGATGTATGATCATGATTTGATTAAAATTTGAAATTCACAAGACTTAAAACTATGTATATCGTAGCATGTGGGAACCATAAGGGACGCCAGAGTTAGCGTTGTTAATGTTTACTATCGTTGTTAGCGTTATAAGAAATATATGATAGGTCCGATTTCAAATCGGGTAATGATGCTTTACAACACATGACCGTTGTCAAAATTGCGATCCTAGCAGTTTATTATGACAGCGTCATGTATGAGCAATATGTCAATATAGTTTGTAGTGATAGCGTCATATATAATTTAAGAGCTATATGGAAATTTAGTTTGTAACGATAACACCATTATATAAGCAATATGTAAATCTTGTTTAAAGAAAATTATTATAAAAAAAAAAATCTACAAAACCAAAAAAATGCTATCCTAATTTAAGATTTAAGCTTATATCGCTATCTGTATTTTATTTAGACTGTTGCCCGTGAGAGAAAACTTTCTCTGTCGACCAGTGTTTAAGGTATGTATATGGCGCCTATTTCCCGTCCGTTTTCTGCCTGAGTAGAGTGGTGTGTGCTGGGCCACAGAACAAGTAGCCATTAACATGAGTTGAATCAGTTTGAACATAGCTTGATTACCGTTCAGTTGTAGTAAACTAGTGCACTAGGTGGCATTCCATTGAGATTAGCATGTCTTATGTTTGTGCAGATTGTCAATCTAGTTGTATTATTTGGTACAAGAACACACCAATTAAGTTTTCTTTGTCATGTCGGCAATATGACAATTTGTTAATAATCCCGTTATAGCTATCAGTAAAGCTTAAAACACTAGTAGTATAAACTGTAAAGGAGCCACCATGCCAACTTAAAAAGAAAAAAAACAAAAAAGCTTTCGACATTCAGCCATATAAAAACATTCTAAACCCAGCTTAAAGGCTTCAAAAGCAGGCATCGCCAATAGACTTCTTCGGTAAACCGCTTTTTGTCATGACAATTCTTTAAATGGAAAATATCATTTGCTTTTACAGAAAATCTTTAAGCCACGAGCATTAGATATGTTTGCAGATATACCTTGTGTAAGAAACAGATTTAAACGACAAGGGGTAACCATGTACTTCACATCAATCCTCATCAGAGCCCTCTCCACGGTTTCCGCATATATTTAGCTCTTGCTAACCCGCAAATAATTCAAAACATTTTTTTAAATTCAAACAAAAGAGCTCTTGGAGTAAATAGCTTTTAAACGCAGGCTTAATTATTAAGCGGATCATATGAATTACTTTCATTAATTGCTTGAAATGCAGAAAGAGCCGAGCAATTTGTATTAATGAAGGAAATTCACAATATCATTAGTGATATGGTACTTCAAAGAGGTTTTTGTCCTTTGGTGAACGTTACGTAATTTAGAAAGGCAAATACTCATTATGCTGTTTCTTATTAAATGCTTTATCGAAGAGTACCGCTTTGACGTGTCAACATTATATGATTGTCTCTGGTGTGGGATGGTAGTAATGCCCCGCCTATCCTCATACCCATAACTGTGCATATTTATATTATAACTTTACACCTACCATATTTAACCCATATCAAATGTATCATGGCAACCTACCTTGACCTATACTCACCTTATCTTATGATATCACCATAAATCATTTAATTCACCACTATACGTACCATATAATATTTTGACACGGAAAAATCTGTGATTGGCTAGTTTTGTACCAGAATGATAAGTGAATGGTATGAAGATATTTTTCTGTTGTTAGATTGTGAGGTTTATTAATTGCTATGCCGCTAGAATCTGCTGTGACATGTATTTATATCCTATGAAGCGCGTATAACATTTTACATAGGCATGCAAACTAATGCAACCAGCAAAAAATACCAAATATTTCACATCACACATATTAATTATAATTTGTATAACCACTTGTGTAAGATACGTAGTGATCGCATGTCAAACGCATAGGCGTACGCTTCAACACAAAACGGAACAAATTTAGATCACGTGACACAACTGAAAACATTTTGCTTTTCCCTCTTGGTGCTGGGTGTTTGACAACTATCACTGGTGTTCTGACCACGCACATTTCTGCTTATCTTTATGCTTGGTTCGATTAAAAAGAGATGTTACTCAAACTTTTTTACTTTACTGTTTGATCATCATCAGTTTGGTATATAATTATCAATATGATCATGCAATTTGTAATTGTGAAATATGTTCCAAATAGAGATAGTCACTCTTGTGTTTTCAAAAAGGTGATTTGTTATTCGTAATTAAAGAGTTAAATTAGATTGGAACCAAATATGGTATTTGATTTTGTTATATATCTATATAATTTGAACTGGATTTAAGACAAGAGATTATAGGAAATTTAACATTGTAGCACATAATAAGCTACGTCACTAGCCACCATGTACTTACTCGCCAAAGCCAATGCTGAATTTATTAATTTTATTAGTTTCTTGATTAATTAAGCTTCACTAGTATAGAGAGCATGTTGGATAGAATGCTACAGACTCTGGTTTTCCATTTATTTATGATAGCGAAACATCCATAAGGTATGGCGATTGTATTTGTTTTCTTTCACGCTCACATGATTTTTTATTCTAAAGCATGTTTTATTATGATAATTTTAGGGACATTCTATTTGGCACATGAATATAATAAAATTTGTCGCAATATAATATTTATAATGGCAATGTACACATTCCGACCATTTTAAACAGCTCCTGTTTTGTTTACCGTTCGATATGTAGTTATCTCACCACCATCAACGTTCTATTAAAGTATCTATTGGTAGCAAAGATAATTTATATTAAGACATTTTGAATGATTTCCACAGGAAGCAGCCACGACCATTGATCGTGGGTGTGTCTCGATGTATAACGGCGGGTACAATCGATAGGGGTCTCTTGTGAGGTCAAAGGTCAATCAATCCTAGGACTACCTACAAAATATGCATATTTTTTAGAACTAATATAGTGAGACGCAGATTCGGGAACTATAAGTATTATTTCATCAGATTAGTGGGAAATTTAAAGATCTTAAGAAATCGTTAAAATATCCCTCTAGATGCAACCTTCTCTATTTGTTTAATATGGTGTCTTCTTTAATCAGTATAGTCCCTACCGTCCCCATATAAGCTACTGTTTATATATGCCTTTTTTTTAATTATTTGAAAAATGAAAGCCTCAAATAGCTGGAGCCATTGCAATATTTCAGAGATAATACTACACATACACATAGTACGGGTTAATTGGCAAAAGTTTATACTATACATGTAAATGGAGTTGATCAAATAGGATGGAAGGAAGGTGTACTTGCTGTTCAAGTATAATTAATAGCGGTATAAGAAGAAAAATGTACTGATCATGTTGTTCAATTTCTTAGTTAAATAGAGGTTGACAGATGTGCCAATACTTTTAGTGATAATTCAAATTACAACTTTTTTAATTTCCACAAGTGATCCCGGCGGCTCATTAACATAACTGACAGGTTCATGATTAACTTCTACAATCTACGTGAAAGTCTTTTCATTATTATTAAGGCCGTTTTGTATTTTCTTTTGCAATATTATAAAATTGAACGTCACTGCCGGACCCATAAAAGACGCTTGCGATAGTGAGTCTGTTTTCGTTTTGTTTCACAGATGTGCATGTTTTTTTCTTCCTCCTTGTAGCTTCTGTGTTTTTCAGTTATGTAGCGCATTTATCAATAAGTACTTTGAATATTGCTCGCACTAGCGTCTACAACACTTGAAGCTGGTTTTTTTGCTCTTTCATGTATTAGTTTTACATTATTGAGAATTTCTATACATAGAAAATTATGTTTGGTACAAATGTATGCATCAAGAAATATGCTATTTTGATTGGTACAGAAGTGTGCATTTGGTATGTCCTTTACATTGGCTAAATCTGCAAAAGATGATAAGATTACGTTTTGTTCTTTTATGCAATATTTTATTTCTGTCATTTGTTAGATATGCGCTGTGGTTGTTCGCATATTGCGTAAATGCTAAAAATAGATACGACGGTTGTGGTGTTGTGAAAGTTTATGAGAAACATATACTGGTAAAAAAACAACTACTCTGAAAACATAATGTACAATTGTTATAATATTTATTTATTTCCATACCCTTTGAACAAAATTAGTATTCCAGTTCTAACGATAACATTTTAAAGGCTACTATAAATTGAAAACAGTTCGTTGGAGATAGGTTTGCTTGTATACTTGACTCAATAATTTGTTTAACAGACAGTAAAATTAAGACTAAAATGTCTTTAGAAAGACAATGTCAAAATAGATAGCTTGTCATACAATGTAAAATAAACAAAATAATCTCGTAGACAAATTGAAATATACAAGATAATATGACAGAGACAAAATTTGAAATAGACTTTGTAATCTAATATTCAAATTATGTGAAATACACCAGATAATCAGACAGACAGATAATGTGAAACAGACTTGATAATCTGCTAACAAACAATGTGACATAAACGGTTCTTATGTTTCTTCCCCGTCTCGTATTTGACATTGCATTACATTGTATACGTACCGCCCTAAATTCCATAACGTTGATCCCACAGTGTATTAATATCTGGTGACATTTTCTCTCGTGATATCTCATCATAGATGACCTATAAAGGAATGTTATTTGTCATGACAGCCGTACCAGTACATTGATACCATGTATGACTTTCATTTACTAGTACAGCTTAAATAATTTAAAAAATACATATTAGCAGTCAATGTATAACAATGCGCCCCTATACTAAATACTAATTCTAAATACATATAACAATGGGCTTATATTTGACCACTATAATAAGCAGGTGTCTAATCAATAGATTTGAAATAATATGACTTTAGATATTAAATATTCTTGCTGAATGTTACTAGAATGCAGCTCGACGATTCGATTCGTGTTATCTTTATTAAGAATCTGTTCTCTGTGTTTTATAGACAGAAAGGTTAGTGTGTTTAAACATGTATGATTGTTTGATGACTGCACATTGTAAGTTTCAGGTATTTGTGATTGTTCAATAAAGACATCTCTTGTGAATTCACTCATAGATATGTCTACTTTTCAGATGAAGAACGATGTAATAGAGCTTCACTTACGTATAAGTTTCCACAACATGTACTCGCATCGCATGGCATGGAGCATGAACTCGATATTCATCTCCCTCTTTCTTCCTTTCCTCTTTTATACAACTTTCAGCACATTTCTTGCAATCTTACATTGGATTAGTCAGAATTATTTTTTTCTTTTTTTCTGTTGATGTTTCCAAAATAGAGTTGTCAAAGTTTGCTTTATCAAACTATTTTGTAATTCTCAGTTATGGTAGAATTTACAATATACATTGTAGCTAATATATATAGAAACACCCGGATGTGGTCTATGAAAATGTATACCATGTCTTTAGTGTAATATGCACGTAAAAACCAACTTGTTCTTTTTAAGGCTTATACGTTTTACCGTTTGTTTCATGAGAAAATTGACTTCATATTCCGTCTTTGCGTATTGCAGAGTTATCTTCTCTTGGGAGCAGGTACTGATTGTTACGTCATTGGTTTGTGTGAGAAAATTACGTCGTTTTCTCAAAAATTGATGACGTTACTCTCACAGACAAGTGACGTAACAATCAATACCTGCCCTCAAGAGAAGATAACTCTGCAATACGAAAAGACGGAATACCTGTATTGAAAGCAACATAACTCAAATGCAATGTAACTTGTTTATCAAATGAATGTTTATAAAGTATCATATTTTATATACATGAATGTAAGAAAAGCATAAAATACAGAGGAACAAAAAGGACGACGTTTTAACCATATATTGTATGAAGCACTCCTGTAACTGTCGTATACACGCAGCCTCAATGAGCTATACGTACATAACTAAAACCCTACAGATAAGATCAGAATATTTTATTCAGAAAATGTAAACATTTCGCCACGACTGTTTGTTGATGTTATATTGTATTGAAGTCTACTTGTTACTTCGATACGCTTAGATAGAATATTTTGATTTACTATTTTTGTACAAGATTGTTTTTAAAAGACAAAACAAAAAGGCAGCATATTAACCACAGTGTACCAATGTTGGATAATGTGTTGCAACCACTTCACAAACACCTTGTATATACGCACGCTTTACAATGTAAACATATAACTTTAATAAATGAAAGCATTCTTCGAATACCCACAACTGGTCAGTCTGTTAGTGTTATGTAAATACCCATCAACTTGTCTAAGGTTATTTAGAAGCCATCGTTTCGTTAGTGTATCATTATTCTGTTGATACCTACCAACTGTTCAGTCACTTAACGTTCTATGGGTACTGATCTACTGTCTTTAATAAATCTGTAAATACCCATCAATTGGTCAAGCTATAAAAACTCCACTCCGCGGATACCCAAGAATTGGTCAGGCTGTAAGTATTATATGTATACCAAACAATGGGTCCGGCCATAAACACTCCGTGGATACACAAAAATTGGTCAGGTTATTAGCACTCGGGGGATACCAAACAGTTGGTCAAGCTTTTAGCAGTAGATACCGAACAGTATTGGTCATGCTATTAGCATTCATTATATACCGAACAATATTGGCCATGCTATTAGCATTCTGTTGATGACCAGCAATGGGTCATGCTATTAACATTCCGTTGATACATATTAATTAGTGAAGCTATTAGCATTCTTTGGACACCAAACAATTAGTCAGACGATAAGCTTTCTGCATATACCAAACAAAAGGTCAGGCTATTAACACTCCGTGGAAACCCAACAATTGGTCATGCTATTAGTATACAGTGGATACCCACCAACTGGTCAAGCTATTGGCATTCTGTGTATACAAAACACTTGGTCAGGCTATTATCACTTCACGGAAACACCATAGTTGGTCAGGCTATTAGCATTCAGTTGATAACCATCAATGGGTCAGGCTATTAGTACTCAGTGGTGAATACCAAACAACTGGTCAGGCTATTAGCATTCTGTGGATACCCAACAGTTGGTCAGGCTATTAGTACTCAGTTAATATCTAACAATTGGGTCAGGTTATTATCATTCTGAAGATATTCACCAACTACTCAGTCTTTATTTCTTTTCTAACGTCCATTAAAGTCAATATGTTAGCATACTATGAATAATTGTATTAAGTTGATACTCAGTCTATCAATGATACTTATTTCAATCAGTTCAAGTGCTTAAGCACCAGGAAACCCGCAGCAATATATATACCATATCATTATACAATTGTTTCATGGCTATTTGGGGAACAGTCAAATCTATCATCCCTCGGTAGGGGGAGGCCCTGGGGAAGTGTTTGCCCGAGCCCGCTAGGCCAAGGGCAAACAGCTCAACAGGGCTTTCCCCTACCGAGGAATGATAGTTTTGACTGATCCCCAAATAGTCATGAAACAAATGGTTTATTACAAAATAAATATTAGTATCAATGCTGCATGCAATGTTGCCATTGCTTCAACACTGAGTCGCGGTCACCGAAACGCTTTAACGGGGCTCTCGAGGAGGGATTTCTGCGCATCGAATTCGCGCCGGGTAACAGTTCGGTCTGACCGGGAAAACAGTTTTGACTGTTTCACCCCTACAGCATAAATTGGACAAAAGGCAAGAAACAGTCAAAAATGACTAATTATAATTTATATAGACTATTGGGTAATAATAGAAATTGTTTCTCATTCGTAGCGAAGAGAAAAATATCAAGCGCAAGGGGAAATATTTTTTATGTGTCCAGAACAGATTTTTGCCAGGGGTTACCACTTATCTGTCTACGTGTGATTGATTTCTCTTGACTGCAATTTTACAAATTAGTACTGAAATGCAACATCCACGTCGTGCTTCATTCGCTCGAACACGACGTCACATCATTATTCTTGTACAGTGCGTGCTAGCTCTCCGAACCCAGGGCAAGACTAATTCTCTTGACAAGAAACATTCATTATTCCTTTTCCACGCACATTGGGGTATTTTTTACTTTGCATTCGATGTGATGAAACTGATGTAAAGTTTTCGTTTGAGTACACGTAAAAATCGTTATTACTGGATAAAAAACAAATTGTTAATATATATGCAATGTCATGAGCTATTTAATTATACAATTAGGGTCAACATATTGCAGTGTACAACGCTATTTTCCTTAAGCGATCAATACATGTTTTGTTACAAATCTATGCCCAACTCCGTACATCTTTTAGTTCAGATGAACTAGTTTAATAAATATGTTTTGAAATAAATATATATACACATCATCAAAGTTATAAATTCATTTATTGTTACTACCAAAGAATTGCCTAGGGTTGCCAAATGTGTGTACGTTGTCTTCTTCATGATCATATCAAGTCTGCAAAAAATCGAAATGAAAATGACGAATACAGTTTCATTATATGTCGAAGTTTACAAAGTAGTTGTCACATCAACCCTGTGTGTTTACTAACGAGAATAAACTGTAACCAATTATAAGAAGCTATATGCATGTTTAATTAGCACACAATAGGTCACTACATAGCTGCTGTTGGTCACTTATTTATCACTATTCAATGGTATAACACGTTTTGTGTTGCTGCTAAATACGATATACTTGACAAACTCTTTTTTTCAATAAAAAAATGTAATTGAAAATTCTATGTTCATTTGGCGTACGCAGTTAACATGAATATACCATGGACCGTTAGAGACTTTGGGTCAGTTGTTACCAGTGGTTCAGTTATTGTTTGATTTTATGTTATATTTTGTAATTCGCCATTTGAATTCAATATATGGAAAATATAATTCAACTTAAAGGTGAATATTCATTGTATGCGAGCATAGGTAAACAATAGTAATGGTTCGAATTATTAAAAACACTTGATCTGTTATGTTTTCATGCACGTATATTTGAGTAATTCAGATGAACATGTGTACCAATCTTTTCTGGTACATTTTTGGTTCGGAAAATAAATTTGACTATCACAGTTAAATGTTCAATTTTCAACAACGAATCGCAATAAATGCAATCATGATGTAATTTTTACGTCAAATGCGCTGTAATAATGAAATATAGATATACACATGTACAGGGAAAGGTGTCTGTGTTGCTTAAGTGTAATTACACATTTAGTGTAATTACTTACACGTTTTCTCAACTTGTGGTCAATTACAATGTCTGATGGTAAGTGATGAATGTGATATATTCAGTAACATTGAACTTGGAAAATGGCTTATTCTAAGTTTGAATAAGCTTATGCCAAATCATTTAAAGGTGTTTACACATATGCTTAACGGCAATACCATATATTTAAACTAATGTTCTGTAGCGCTTCACATATTTCACTTGTAGTTTAATATTCAACTTAATTTGTTTCCTTTGATTTGTTTTAATTGTTTTCTTTGTCACCCAAAGAAACATTATTATCACTGAGTGTGCAATTCCGTCTTTGCGTATTGCAGAGTTATCTTCTCCTGTGAGCAGGTATTGATTGTTACGTCATTAGTTTGTGTGAGAAAATTACGTCTTTTTCTCAACAATTGATGACGTTACTCTCACAACCAATGACGTAACAATCAATACCTGCTCACATGGGAAGATAACTCTGCAATACGCAAAGACGGAATTGTCATCATGGCATTTCCATGATAATGCATGGATGACATTAGCTAATATCACATACTCCTACGTACGCATTAGCTTCAATAAGGGCATAAGGCTACTGCTTCATAATTTGTTAGTATCATATATATTTGTCAGAAGTTTCATACTAGTGATGTTCATATCAGTTTAAGATTTATAAATACCAATAGTAATGGTAGTAATTATCATATAATTTTGAGTATGATTTATAAATGCAATTAGCAATTAGTTATACCGTTAATCTTTATATTGTTTTGAGTATATAAGTGCCAGAAGTGACACCAGTGCTTGCAATATTAGTTTGAGTAGCATTTAAATTTCCAGTAGTTATACTAGTGATTGTCATATTAGGTTTAGTATGATTTAAAATGATGTAAGTAATACCATTTGTTGTCATAATTGTTTGAAAATAATTTATATATGTAAGTAGTAAAACTAGTAATTGTTTTAATATTTTAAGTATGATATTTCAATGCCTTTATAATACTTGCAATTCTCATAATCGCTTTTGTATTATATTTAAGGACCCCTGTCCAACTGGACTGTGGTTTTTCTTATCAGTTTGGATATATCTGTAATACAGTTTTCCTTTTATTCTTATGAATTAGAGTATGTTTGCACAATTGATGCATGAGATATGCAATATTCAACATCAGGTGCTACTCGATAAATAGGTATACACGGCAGCATATTCATTTAGCATAGGGAATAACTGGTTATAATTGAGACTGTTCGGCGAAATTAGATTAAATTGATTAATGACCATTTGTCATTATTGAATTGAACAACAAAGACTAAATAATTGTAAAATTCATTATCAGAATATAATTAAATTTTAATGTGCATTTTAAGGTAATTTATTATTGTTTTTCATTACAGAGTGCTAACAAAATGACTCACGATGACATCAAACGAGTGTTTAATCTCTACGACAGGGTATGTCCTTTATTGGCATGTGTCCAAAGTCAGTGTTACATGAAAATTTTAAGAAAAGCTACAAGAAATTACATAAATAACAGTGTCTTCATTTCATTTCAAAATTATTTTATTGTTGCAATTAACAATAGGATTGGGCACAGGCATTGCCTATGAAAGCCCTTTCCATATAGAAAGACATACATTTCAAACATCTACTGCATGTAAATTATAGATGTAATATATTCAGATAGGTAGATACAATGAGAGAGAGAGAGAGAGAGAGATTAGCAGTCTAATTGGAATATCAGAGACTTCAACAGGGTAGATATAGTGTTTGGTTACGGCACGTCAAAGTCACTGTCACTACACACAGTGCCATATTAACCAGTAACACTAGAATTACAGGAAATTACTGATACATAATATAATATGTTGTACAATAGGGTTAAAATCTTCCAGAATTTTCTATATAATCTAGGACACAAGAGAGAACAAATACATTTGTTTCAATACTTAAATCTAGTATCTTGAATATGATGCTACCCTCAAGAAGAAAAACGTGTATGGAAAACATGATTCAATAATACAATTGAACGGCCTGCATTGAATATTCCATATATAGGGATTATATTAACATATCAACATCACAAATCATGTACAAAATCTGCAGCTCACGACATTTATTCACCTGGGTTATGAGGTTAATGACGTCCTTATCATTTACTATAATGTAGAACCCTGGAATACAACAGTACATCATGTCTGTTCAGCTCAAACAAAATAAAAGTAATCCGGAAAGGCGGAAAGTTCGAGACAAAAATCATACCCAGGTGAATGGAATCTAGTTGACATCTAAAGTTATTCTCTTAAACAGGATGAAAATGGTTCAATAGAGAATGAGGAGCTGAATGGCTTCCTTAAGGATCTGATGGAGCTCGTGGAAGAGGTATGTCATTATTGTATTGTATTTTAAAAAAAACTCGATAAATTCAAATTGATTATAATATTTTGACAGAAAGTGTTATCATTTCCTAAAATATACTCTAAAATCCGTTGTATTTAGTTGATACGATTTAAAAATGAAATATTGCCAGTTTTCAATTTATATTGCACTGCTTATTTATAATTTATAAAAATGTTTCTGAAAACTTTATTTTTAGTTGACGTGAATTTAATGCAATTGCAAAATCATAACTGAGCGATTAAAGTACAAAAGGTTTTAACAAAAATGTTTTAACAAGCGTTAAATAAAACAATATACAAGTCCTTTATCAAATACCAATGTTACTACTATCCAGGGAATGCCAGCTGAAGCAAAGGTATGACGTAATAATAGACAGTATAGGGGAAAGGTGTTTACCATGGATGTCGCAAATGTATAATCTTCTATCCATTTAGGAAACATGGCACGCTTCAGTGTTATGCTACATATACAACCGACCTTTAACGAACGATTCGAATTCGTCGGGCGCATATCTAAATCCGACGGAGAACGTATCAAAATTGCAGTTGACAACATTCCTGGAGTCAGTTTTATAATAAGTTATTAAATCTTAATTTACTGTCAGAAACATGATTTTATCTACGGAATCCCACGGCCTTTGGGAATATAAATTATGTATCGGTCAATCTCAAAACCATGTTGTTTTCAATGGATGCTCAACACTATCCGACTGTCATGCTGTCAAACGAAAAATGTGGTATGCTTTTAGTAAAAAAAAACTCCAATAATCGCGATCAAAACATCCCGGACAGGAGTTTGATATTAAACTTAGATCGTAATAAAAAGAGTCCATCCTTATCAAGGACTGAAGGACTTCAACGATAAAGTAACAGAACAGGTTCAATATAATGTCAACAAACATTCCGCCAGATCTTACTAATATTAGATTCCGCCAGATCTTACTAATATTAGATTCCGCCAGATCTTACTAATATTAGATTCCGCCAGATCTTACTAATATTAGATTCCGCCGGGAAACAACATTTACAGATGTTTGACAATACTTCGACAAAGATTCTTGTTTACATCACATATCAAGAAGCATGGTAACCAAAATGGAAGTAAATATTTTAAACATGCATTTCAGTCAATATATGTACAATCAGACTGTTGGAACAGCCATTCTTGCGGAAACAATGGCGAGGTTTCTATGGTTATTATTCCGTCAGGCGACAAACAAGAAATGGGAACCATTCGAGAATTCCGTTATAATTTAAACGGTCCCAAGTTAGTCTAACATTAGGAGGGAGAAACCCGAGCTGTTTCCGATAAGAAAAAACATTCACATGTAATAATGAGATAACATCAAATGATTAATGCAAAGTGACGGCAATCGTTAATATAGCTCACAAAATATGGCGGTCCTGCTTCAATTACTTAGGCCTCATGGAAACCTCGATCACAACATATACAGATGTATATTTTATATAGTTTCGTTTGATACAGTAAGGGGTGAAAATGACAATCGTCAATACTATTTCCGGTCCATTTAATAACTAGTCAGCCTCATATATTAACTGCTATGCATATTGTTTCTAAAATCAAAATCCAGAATGGCGGATTAAGGATATAAGCTTAGCAATCTTACTCTGGTGAAATGGCAGTGATATTTACAAAAAAAAGGCGTATAAATAATATTTTAGAAACTTGATTGCTTTAGTTGGACGAGGCACTGGGTCCATACCAGACAGTATGTTTGAACATGAAAATGATTGATTTGGATATTCTCGTCACTTTTTGAAGAAAAAACCTTCCCCTGGCCTGTCCGGTACACTGTTGCATATCCTGTTTAGTTTAAATTGATGTAGTTGGGTGGTATTGGGGGCTTCTAGGGACCAGAAGGATGTGAACTACTGTCATTCAAAATTGTTATGTTCTTCAGAAATCCCGACGAAAAAGTGAAGTGAAAACTTGTTAATTATATTTCCGGGCGGAATCTGATATAACAAAGATATGTTCCCCGGCGGAATATTTAATGACAATATGTTGAGTCCTTAATACCCATTAATATTGACAACTTTCTAACAGCTTAAATTCAGCATCAAACCTCAGTCCGAGATGTTTTGATTGTGTATATTAGATATTTTAACAAAGCAAGCATACTTGTCGTTTGACGGTATGAGAGCCATATAGTCTTAAGCATCAAATGAAAATGTGAAAGTTTTGAGATTAACTGATTAATGATTTGAATACTTCAATGATCGTGGAGTTCCCTTGGCATTATCGTATTTCCGGCTGTGATTAAGAATTTCATTCACTTATAAAGACCTGACTCCAACTTGTCAACTGCAATTCAGATATGTTCCCCGTCGGAATTAGATATGCTCCCCGACGAAATTGAATCTTCCGCTAAAACCTTATGCATACTCTTTTTTTAACGAAGATTGTACTACTGTGTCATTCATCGTGATGTGATTGTGTGGACCTTCTCCTCTTGAATAGCCATTTTCAATTCAGAAAATCACGTATAAACATGTATTTCATGTTATATAATTGTGCTGATTTATTTAAACACGCCACTGATTTTAATTCAACAGCCTTTGAATCGACATTGTCGAACAATAATCTAATGGAGTATTTGACAGAGAAAGGTCCCACACAAGAAGAGGGCTAGGCTGGTTTACGGCATTTTAATATAAAGGTTGATTGCATTTCGTGCAATACTTACCCTTCACATACTCTTCTCTCGGATTTGCTTCCCATTGATAAGTACATGTAATACACATATGGGGTTGATATGAATTAAACATTATAGCATTACACTAGTACATTATATTTAATATGTTTTTGTCAGATTTTGAGATTGTAAAAGACATATTGGACCAATTTTGATACTTACAACCACAAATTTGAATTAGTGATAATAAGGGAAATATTGACATTTACATGTTTGTTTGTGTTTCTAATGTTTAATGAAATAACTACGTGAATGGGAGGAAAAGAAAAAAGAAATTTGATCGATCTTTCAGTAAACTAAGGTAAAGGGTAGTTATGCACCAGCTATTATCGTTAAGACGTGCTTTTCAGATATTTTTTGCAAATTGCATCCCTTCTTTCTAATAACCAAAAAAACAAATCAATTTCAAAAGTCGCCGAGGCATTATAAACCCGATTTCCGTGCAAGTACTACTTTATGAAAGCCCCTTCCCTTCCATTGATACCAAGTTTAACGAGTTAACTATAAAAATAAAGGTTTCATAGCTGCTGATGTTTGATCTTTCTTGTAAGCAAAAATATATGTATATATAAAGAACCTTAGACAAAGGAACACAAATTAGTTTCCCTGGCTTAGAGTTACTTAGTTATGCTACCTAACTACCTTTCATTTTAATACCCTGTATTTACAATTCTTTGATGACCACATTGGTAAACATTGTACGTTCGCAAATGGATGGGTCCCAAGATGGGTCCTTTTAAACTGTAATTCTTTAAAATGCATCGCACAATATAATATTATTCCATGCGGAAATATGTGTAGAAAATGACTAAAACAGTGGCGATGGCTATTATGTATATTTTGACTTGGTGGTATCAGCTTTAGCATCTGACAGCTAAAGCTTAGTTTCTCCAAAATAAGAGAAAAACATATGTTTCAATATGTGTTCCGTTGCGGTAAGATTGTAAAGCCCGGTTTTTAAAAAAGCACATTCCTCGTTCCACCTTACCCAAGCTATCCTGTAAATGTTTCTTTTATTATAACTCAGTATATATTCCAACGTATTTGCATAAAGAAACTCACAATGAAACAGAGATGTAATCACTTAAGCACTGTTAAGAAATAATTGTGTTGGATAAAAAAAATGCATACAGCTAAATATTTGCATGGCTATGATAACATATATATCACCTCTACCTCAGATCAAATACACTTCAGTGTATTAAAAGATTAGCATATATAAATGTCATCGCATGCCAGGTGATATAAATGTATATGTTTAAAATTACGTTTGTTTTTTCATAAACAAATTCGTTACATAGAGACTGTTTTTGTATTTAGCGTCGAATGATGAAGCTGTCCTTTATTTCAGGGAAAGATAAATCTACATAATATGGGTAGTCGGAGTTTGGCCGTCGCATTTAAGATAATGAAGGTTACTTAAAAATCATAATACTACAGTCAGTATATATACATATAATCTACCTTAAAATCGATCTTGTCAAGTTCCAATTATAACACTGAAGCTATCAATGTGTTTATATAATATGACGATATGTCTGCTTAAATACATGTATACTACCTCAAAGTAAATACCTAAATATTATACAGGAATCACAGTCCACAAACTGATTCATTAAGCATTGATGGTGTCTTTATTACGGATTCAAAATATAATTAAGGCTCAAGCAAATACGGTACGTAAATGTTTCCATTGTGTGTATTATTACAGAAAATGCACGAAGAATTTGTTCACGAAAAGTAGGTCTCAATCTGACAAAAAAAAACATTGTTTTCTGTTTAAAAAGGTACTTTGCTTCCTATACTTACATGTGAACTACTCTATTAGTAGGCATGTATATTTTAAAACCTTTATTTTTAATTACTTTTAATATGAAATATTCATCATGTGTAACAACTTTATAAAATGAATTGTTTCAAATGTTGGCATGTTATAAATTATACAGGACTATGACGAGGAAGATCTGAACGAGTGCAAGAAGATACTTTTGGATAAGTGTGATCTTAACCATGACGGGAAAATCAATCTTGATGAACTGAGCATGATCCTCATGTCGTACAATAGGTCTTCCAGTGACACGGAGTGTGCCAAAGAATAACATGCCAAAGAATTTACAGGTCGGGGTCACAAATATGTCGTCTGTTGCATCAAATCAGTTTGAACGAAAAAAAGAATTCTTGTGTAGAAGAATAGGGATAATCACTGTATTTGTCAATGAATGAGAGTGAAAATGAAACGTTTTTTTCATATTATGTTCGATTAACTGAAATGAAGACTTTAAAATGAAAGGAATCTTGATGCATGCGTTTAAAGCTATAACATGAAAGAGTAGCAGTCCGTGGTTGTATTTATAATATTTCCCAGCATTCTTTGTGATGTCATAATAAATATAGTGAAGGTAGTCATAGGGAGGGATTGTGAAATTTGTGCTGTCATTATATAGTACAGGTAGTCATGGGAACATTGACTTAGCACAGCGAACAAGGAAAGGCCTCAGCATGTCATATACAATTAGTGACCTTGACTTTCTTATTATGTTATGAAATATAAGCTTTATATTATTGCATTGTATATCTATAAAATGTCCAAATCATACATTAAGAATTATTTTAAACAAATTTAAAATGCTTGTAAAATCATTTATATATTGCTTTGTTTAATACAAAAAGTATATCCAAAGTGCGACAGACTGTTACACAGTAACCCGATGTTTACGTTTCCGGTTTTTTTAACACTTGTCTTGTAACTTATTTCTTTGCAACATGAATGGGGAGAGGTTACCAGTTATTATTGTGTTCTATTATATCTATCTTTACATCGGATTTAATTGTAAATGTAAATATTCTGCTTACGGTAAATGTTCTTTCTCAGTCGAAATTTCCATCAATTATCTCTTTTTCAATTGTTTTTAATTGTTACAATCATTGTTTTAAATTTATTGATTATTATTGAGAATATATTACATTGTGAGATTCCAACAGTATATTGTCATGAGAATATCTTAATCGCTCAAATCTCCTTATAAGGTAACTACAAATTAGAGATCAATTCATACATATGTATTTATGGTGAAATCAGTGCCCAATAATACGTGACAATTTTAAACAAAATACACGTGTAGTCAAAGTTTAGATCGATTTGATTGTTTATGTGAGAGGAATGAAGTCAGTAGAATAGTGTTTTTGACCGGCACAGTTTGGGAGCTTTAATCAAACTTTGACAAAACAAAACGTACAGTAGAAATAAATCACACGTTTAGTTAATTTAGATAGGTAGAATTGCATGCAGTAAGTTGAATTGTTACCACGTTATGTTTTATAATTTAAATGGCTGAATATTACATCATACAAGTAAAAACTGTTCTGGAACGTAAGTCAGCGTCAAAAAACAAACCAAAGATAAAATTTCAAATAATATGGAAAAAAAATAAAACACTTTATCTCCGGATAAACAGTTAAAATTAAAAACTTTCTCAACACATTAATTAGATGATCGGTATCATAACCAGGATATCACAAAGCTAGTCCAACATACCGTCAGCCTGACAATACCATAAGATCAACAAAGACAGTGACACCAAGTCTCATTGTGTTATCTATAGACCTCCACTTGTCACTTAAAATTGTATGCATATTTTTTTTAATCTTGCGTCCAGTTTTTTATCTTTCTTTTCTCATTTTTGATTCCCTATAATCTGAATTTGAAAACAATTTAAGATTAATTGGCACAGTGTACTTAGAAGGAATGGCTCTACTCAAAGTTCTAATCAGTATTAATTAGTTAATCTTCTATCAGGAACTTAGATTTCGCCTAAAATATATGACTACTTTCTGAACACCTTTTATAGGTGCAAATTAATAGAACATTCTCTTCTTTGATTTCTTTATTAAATATCTCTTGTAGTGTATTAGACTGAAACTAATATTTTTACACTTAATATTTATTGTTTATGTACCTTTACGAAGCAGGCTTCACATCGACATGATGTTTTTTTTTCTACCTTTCTACTTTATCTCTATTGACAATTAAACAAACACACCTTATATACATATTTGCTCAAAACTGTACCTACCTTTCTTTAACAGAGCCTTTCTGTGAATCATAGGTTACCCTTCCCAGGGCATATTAATGAAGTGCCCTTTTTGGTATTGTTACGTGTCATATTTTTTTTCTTTTGTTTTTAATTAATTAATTAATAATCAAATCATTTAATTATAATCTTCCACATAAAATATACCGAACTATGAAGACTCGTGTGTGTTCCCCAGATATGGCTATCAAAATCCTAGAAGGAATGACGGTGCACTGGTGTTTAAGAAAATGTGTTGTTTACAAATCAAAATATGAAATTTTAATTAAAAAGCGCATAGCTAACACAAGGTGTTTTGCACAACAGAGTAATAGGAAAACAACAAATTTGCAGACGTCATGCTGTGAGATTTAACCTTTAATTTATGCTTGAATATCGAACGTTTTAGCTATAAACATCTGTTATGATTGTCATAAACAATATAGTTATTTTCAATATTACAATAATCAAATACAAACATTGATATACGACTTCCCCCTTATAACAGCAGGTATGTGGTAGATTTTTATTGGATAGTCTCTGTCTCAAGATATGACATATCAAAGAGGGTACATAAACCATTTGATAAAATAAACTGACAAAATCAGGGTGTAAGATAAAGACTCGGTGATGTGGGGCCTGGTTGTTGTTGGACAAGAACTTCAATGATCTTCACGATTCTCAAAGTCAAGTTGACTGTTCCGTTTGCAATGCATAACGTTAAATGTGAAACATGGGTGCTAAACAATCACAGCTTTATTCGACAATACATTTGTACAATGGAATGTGTCTTGCATGCAGTTTAAGGGCATTTTCGCTATTATTATCGAAAGTTTTATCAATCAAACAGGAAATATAGTCACTTCATGTAAAGAAACTGGAATTTCTTAATGTTTCAATCATCTATATATCAGACGCACATATTAAAACTTGCTTCTGTTATAACGTTCACTCAATGTATTTGAGATACTTATAAAACAAATTGTACATATATTATTCGATATGCTTTTATTGTGCTTTTTAATAAAATAAATTTGGAAAGAGCGCATCTTATCAATGAGTTTGTTTTTTCCATAACTTTTATTACTACTGTTGATTCAGGGTATTGTTCAATTCATTCATTCAATAGGAACAGGTGCTTCAGATTGTTCGTGGAATAGAATAAATTCTTCAACATCGGAAGGGTCCTCGGGTGCGAGTTTTGAGAGTAAATGTAACTGCAGTTCGCCGAGAACAAATCTTGTTATTTTGACAGCCCCTGCAATCATTGATGAAGTGGTAAAGATGACGACGCCATTTTCAATGACATATTACACTACTCTCAAAACTCGCATCAATGGAATACACTATTATCAGAAGCAGTAGGGAAATTGTTAGAAGCACCAAAAGAGGAAGACGTTGACAAAAATTGTTAGAAAATCAGCAAGGTCACACAGATACCTTGGGGGAAAATTGGCCATGAAAGCTATATTGGTATCGAGTAATGAGTATTGTCCGATTGTATTTAACACCTGTTTGAATAGATCAATGTTTCAGACCAACAGAGCACAATTAATATCAGAGTTTCTCAAACAAACTTTTAATAAACAGTAATAAGATTTGAACAAGTTTCGTTCCTTTTTTACCTTAATTTATTGGAATTAAAAACATCGTTTTTTTATTACGGATCATTAAGACATAGTACGATTAGCATGTGAATGGTAACTTTGGAGAGAAAAAAACAAAAAACAGAGAATCAGTCAATTAATGCAAACTTAGATTTCAAATGTAAAATATGGGGACAACGTCAACAGTGAACAAATAAGGACAAGAGTAATGTTCAAAAATCGATACGAATCCTCGTCAATATGAGCTGAGACTTCAAAAAGTGTTGTTGAGGGATATGCGTTCTGAGTTAATTCACCCACCACATGCACATCATTATATCTCCCTGCAGGGATCGGGAAAAGATGCTGCTACCCATTGTATGTATCGTAGGAGGTGACTAATGAAGGAACCCCCTGCAGAATCGGGGATTTGCTTTGGTGTCCTCTATTTGGGGACACAAAGGCGACCAAAATAAATCTGCTGCACCCATTGAAATATTTGGAATCTTTATCATTCTTTCTACTTCTAGTTACCTTTTATTTCTTAGCGCCTTGCTTGGCAACACCTCACTTTTCGCTTTAATGTTGAGCGTTCGCCCAGGTGAGGAAGGCAATGGGTTCTGTCCCAAGGCTGGGACATACCAAAGTCCTTAAAAATGGTAGCTGTTATTCCCTGCTTAACGTTCAGCATTTAGGGGAATGGCAGCAACTGGTTCACCCGTTGTCAGTATAATGTGACCGGTCGGAATGCTGTGCTGGGTACCTTCGGCATTGTATTTCAGCGAGATAGCACTATAAAGCCGGCATCAGATCCGCACTATCACAAGGAGGCAACATACACACATGCAAGCATGCATATACTACACACATGGAGGCACGTCCTTAAATGACCTTAGCTGTTGATAGTACGTTAAATAAAATTGAACCAATACATAAAAATGTGCATCAAAAAATAACTACCCATGTTCACGACTATAAATATTTCGGAAAAGGTTTGGCAAAATATATTTGTCCATTTTAAGATTATATTCAAGAATGGATTGACCCCTTTGATGTAACTGAGAGTTAAATCAATGACAGCAGGATACCATACTGATTAACCATACTCGTTTAAACCAGTGTTGCTATCGTTATGTTATAAGAAGAAATATCAATATATTTGTAGAGAAATTGTTTGCATAGATTATTAACATTCGCAATCAATGTTTTGAATATAAAAAGGGGGTTATTTCACTTAATAAATCTGAACAAGGACACGAAATATAGACATCATAGTGATGTTCCATTTGCATCCACATATCCACTTCACTATAGAGTGAAAGAAAATAGCAGTTCCTAGTGATGGTGTACTGCATTTTATACTGAATAGACGTAACGATTTCCTTGCTGAGCCATACATGAGTTCAGACAGTATGAACATTTAAACTTTTATCAGATAATGTACTGTGTTATCCAGTGAATATACCAATGTCATATTTTTTTGGCGTATTCACCCATGTAATATGAGCTATCAGCCCTGTGATTGGTTGTAAGTTTCAATTGTGACGTCAGGCCTAGGACAAGTACATGGCGTCACAGACTTACGCACTGGAGTCAAAATTTCGGCTTTTTACATTTCAAGATTGCATGAAAATTGTCGTTTTACACGCATAAATGCCATGAATCTTGATTATGTGATAAAAAGGATCTTACACTCGTTTTCATTTCATATGAAATTTATGAAACTCGTCACGAATTTTTCATTTTAGCTCGCCTAAGGCTCGCTAAATTGAAAAATTCTTAGACTCAAAATTCTTAGACTCGTTTCATAAATCTCATATGAAATGGAAACTCATGTAAGATCCTATATATAAAAGGACGACAGCAGTTAAAACGTTTGGACTATAATGTCAATATTCTTTTTTGAAATTACACAACTAGTCTTAAAATTCAAACTCGACGTCTATACGTAATATCTGTAGCAGAGCTGAACAACAATCTAACGGCTAAAAGAAAAGCTCACGCTACACTGAAGTCAGGAGGTATGGGTTTCCGTTCCAAAAACATGTCTAATTTTCACCATTTGCTGTGTCATCACACGGTTGTCTACACATATTTAGACTTCCGCCAAAACGTAAAGTAAGATTTGTGTCAATTACGACTTCCATTAGACTCAAAGGTTAGACTCAGTAGCTGAAACAGAGTGTATTACAAGAGATAAATGCATATTTATAAAACGTACCACTCTTCTAAATGGTTGTTTTGAAGGGCAAGAATCTTTTGATAACAATCTTGATTTTTCACTAAAAATATTTGTATTGAAGAGAAGCATGAACCCAAGTTGCTATTATCGGTCAAAAGCTACCTTTTGCTAAATAAATTGCATAAAACAACAACAAGATCTACATTTCGATTAGAATACTCATACACAGCCGTTTTTTGTGGGTTTTGTTTTACAAAGTAATGTAATTAAAATTTGTGTAAAATTTTCAGTTACAAGGAACAGTAAATCTGTGTGTAATGGTTCAAAAGAGTTAATTGTATCACCTTAAATAACGAACTACTACAAAATAGTGCAGCAATGTTTATGTTTGGTCGGTAAGCTTTAATTTCAAAAGTCCTGAAACAATTGTCAGTTAGAAGGGTGTTGTTATGACTACCTAACATTATGTTTTATCAGTGGTTAAGACCACTTTAAGCCCCTGGAATTACTCATGGTTCCAAGAGGGTCAAAACAGCTGAATGATTCAGTGCAATTAATATTTGTAATACTGTATCTATTTACGAATTTTGTAGGTCTTTAATATGCCTATTAGCGACACCTCGTCTGTAAATTATTTTGTCTAGATCCCCTTCTGCAAGATTTATAAACTGTTTTTCACAGCGACTCAGAAATGCATTCTACAGCTAACCATTTCTTTGTAAATGACAGTTGAAAATTGAGTGTTTTCCAAAATGTATGCCTTTTTGAGAAAGGATAATTGATTCCAGTCACCTTGATAATTTAATCTGTATCACCTATACCGCAAAGAATTAGCTTTGTTGGTGAGTTCACGTTCTCTAAAAAGTAAAATTACATGAAATTGGAGCCAAAAGAAATCAACCTGGAAGGATCTTGGCACCCTCCATGAAAGCATCTTTATCAGATCTACAAAGATTTTTCCTTCTTTGCTCTTCATTTCCCTTACAGGTATTATTATTATAAGAATAGAAAACTAAATGCGAAATGCTAAAAATGAGTAATTCTTACATAATTGGAAGTGCTGTCAATGATGAGTGAATTCTCATAAGGGCCAGGGGTATTTTTAATATGGGGAACATACATATAATATAGTGATAACAAAATTGAACTATCAAAATTTAAGATGGCTGTCTGGTGGCCATTTTGGTTTACCTATAAATCCAAAAAAGCAATATGCATAACAGGCCAATGGGGGACCTTCATGTAAAATGAGAGAAGGTCCTTCTAGTACTTTCTGAGAAATAGAGCTAACAATTTTTTAACTTTCAAAATTCAAGATTGCTGCCTATCGGCCATCTTTGTTTTTCTATCAGTCTCAGAATTCGATATGCGTAACTAGACCATGAGGAAGCTTCATGTGAAATTAGAGATAGATCCCAAAAGTTCTTTCTACAAAATAGCCGTAACAAACTTTAACTCTAAAAATTCAACAGATGGCCATCTTGGTTTCTGATCAGTCCAAAAATTCTTTATGCATAACTAGGGACCATGGAAAACTATTTGAAAATTGAGAAATGTCCCTTTAATCCTTTCTAAGGAATAGCGCTTACAAGAATAGTTTTAGGAAGTACAGATGGAACGGCGAATGGAAAGACGTACGGAACAATGGATGGACCTTGGACGAAGGGTGATTTGAATAGCCCACCTGATGATGATGGGCTAAAAATGATGGAGGTCCAAAGTGTTTCATTGGAGGTATCAGATTAAGTGTTATTTTCCAATGCCCCTATGGGGATTCAACCAGGTAAAAGAATACAAATGAGATACACATACTAATACTGTTGAATAGAGCACTTTTATTTTTCTTATCAGGAGAGAAAACCTAACAAATAATTGAAATAAATGTTCATGAATAATAAGTTACATGTAAAATTCTTAGTCAGCATTTCTTTATAATAAATAGTTAAGCTGACTGCTGTATGTATCATGTCAAAACACATGACGGCAATCACACCCACACATGTCTACAGTGTGCCATCTTTTATAAAACATCTCACGAAATACCAACAACATACTGAATATCCTTGGTGCTCTCCTGAACCACATCTGACGGGCAAGAAACTGTTCTGATCATTATGCTGTAACACATGTACATGGGTGGACTTTTATCAGAATCAATACTAATACACATACAGAGACATATTTCAAATGCACCAATGCTTTCCTGAAAGAAATTCATTATAATCTTACATTATATGCATCATCATGGATAAATTATCTTTTAATCACAATTATAATGCCCTTTACACCACTCCTCTCCTGTTCCGATGAACATAAGCATTTCTTGAAGGTTGACAAACTAAAGTATGTCAAATTTTCAAATAGGAATCATGAAATTTTAACTGACCCCATGAATTATCAGCTTTGTCTCACATTATTGCTGTCAGTAACTTTTCTGTTGACCTCTAGGTTGTGACAACTAGCAAGCATCAAGCAAGAAACAATCTGCCATAATCGCATTTGTATATTAATTATTTTGGTCGAAATTGTTTTCTTCAGAAGAAAAGACAGACATAATTATTCATACACAATCAACCTGCTTCCATTTACAAACAATTGTTTACTTTAAATCCTCAAACTCATTCATTGGGGTTTAATTCTCCATACAAGGGCAATCAACGATCATTCTATGGAAGGTATTTAGTAAATTCTGAATCATTATGCACCAGATAGTTTAACCTGTGATCACCTCTTCAATAAGAATTAATGGGACAATAAATAACTTATGAATCACCAGTAATTTACATTATTCTGAATTACTGTGAACTTGTTCAGCTGTCCTTACAATATGTGGAACTTTGACATTGATCAAATTTTAAATCCACTGGTAATCTTCTATGCACCTGATAATCGTATTAAAAATGAAACCCTAACACTTGTTCCACACTTGGTTCATCATTCACAGTATCTGTAATCATATGTACAGCGATGTCCTAAGAGAGATAACTCTGTTTTAAGATGCTGATGTCCTAAGAGAGATAACTCTGTTTTAAGATGCTGGAGTTTTATCAGCTGGAGTTTCCTCTCCTTCCGTTGGTCCCTTTTTCTGATCATCAGGTTTCATAGCAGGGAAAAGCAGCACCTCCTGTGATGATAAAACAATCATAGAAATAATAACAGAAAGTAGTGATACAGAATAATTATAACTAAATCACTACTTAATTACTGAAGGTCGCTGGTCAAAGTATGACCTAGCACTTCAAACTTGACTTTCACATTTACTAAAAGCGCATTGACATACTTAACAATCAGTGTACCTGTTTACTTACTGTACAGGTAATTAAAAGCCTGAAGTTGTGACCACAATCATATTTCACTCGGCCCTTAAGCTTATGCAAGCTAAATAATCACATAAAAAATTTGAACAAGAATCTAATACAAGTGAATGTGTCACCTGGCCCAATTTAGGTTGAAGGATCACTGAAAGCAGTTTTTTAAATGTTATATTTTCTGTTGAACTATTGATCAGATCAAAGATAGGTCATAACATATTCATGAATTAGTCAAGAATTGAACTTTGAACAAGAGACTTGGGTAAAAGGGTGGGGGGTGTTTTCTCGGAAATCTAGTAATTTCTTCAAAAATGATCACTGGGAATCCATCAGCCTATCATATTTCATTTGCTTCATTAAATATACGCAAAGTTTGCTGACAATCAAAAACTTCAGCAAAGAACTTCGGTAGTAAAGCACACCAGGCAAGTTTAATCAAAATCTAATAATTCATTCAAAAGATATGTTTGGTAAACGAATCTGTACACTGACAACACATGACAACGGACAATATAATCACTATGTGGAAAAGGTGAAGACTGCAACCTACCTTAATATTGTTGGAGTCAGTGAGGAACATACAAAGTCTGTCTATGCCCATGCCCCAGCCTGCCGTGGGAGGTAGTCCGTACTCCAGGGAGGTACAGAAGTTGTCGTCAACAAACATAGCCTCGTCATCACCGGCAGCCTTGTCCTAGAACCAATTTAGATAGAGCTCACATTTATAAAACATGTCATAAAGGCCACACAACTACGCAAATACATCAAACTTAATATTCAATCTATTATCACTGACCATGTATGATTAGACATTTGAATAAAACTTATATCACATGAATCTTCATAACACTTGTTTTAGACTTTTACACAGATCAATACTTGAATCATTGTTAAATTTTCTTATTTTTTAAATTGACTAAACAGCACTTACGTCAACCCTTTTTAACTTACTAATAGTGTTAAATCCCCAAGTTTAAAGCTTTTCTATGCAATGAGTTCAATGAATCAGGACCAATAAATTTCTGTTGAATTCAAAAGTTTAAAACAATAAATAAGAGTCTCCCTCCCAAATTGAGACTTGGTAAGTACGTTAACTTTTGACAATTCGGAACTGCTTACCTGAGCCTGCTGTGCGAACCTCTCCCTCTGAACAACCGGGTCATTCAACTCAGTGTAGGCATTACAGATCTCCTTCTTACATGTAAACAATTCAAATCTCTCAGTAAGCCCTGGAATTGTCCGGTGCCACTTGGCGAGAGGACTCATAACCTGGGGATGTTCTATGATGTATGTGGGGTTGATACATTTCTCCTCAATATACTCTCCCACCAGCTTGTCCAGTAACCTGGCTGCCGTTCTTGGTGGTGAACAGTCCACTCCATGTTTTAAACAGAGACCATCTAAAAACTTCTTCGTTCCTGAAAATTGTAATTAAACATTTGTATGAAGGTGTTAATTTGACATTATATAATAACAGTCACATCATCGGTAAAATGTTTCCTTAGATCACGCTATAAGAATCTAAGCTAATAATTGAAGGCTTTTATAACATAAACGTGCCCATCGAAAAACCAATAAATCAAATATGGATGGATGCTTGTGTAAACCTTATTTTGATATCACTTCCTTATTTACAATTTTGACAATGTATTTTCCAATTTCATTTTTGTATTGGTTACATTTGAAAGAAATACAGAACACAAAATATTGCAGTGATTTTCACTGAATTAACTGTTTAAAGAAAAAGAATGTCATGAATTGTATTCATTAAAAGACTGAGCTTACTTTTCGTATTAGAGGAGTAAGATTAAGATCCATACACAAGGGATGAACCTAGCCAGTAGCCAATGAAAACACCTCCTCCTACCAGCTACTTTTGTGAAAAATATTACAATGGTAATGAGGTACACTAGTGTATTATGAAACATACGGCAAATAACTGCCAACTTTGTTTTAGATAAACTTGAAATCTTATTGGAACCCTTGCTTACCATCTGAGGAAAACTCTGTGGCTGGAGGAAACTTAACATCAAGGATTTTCTCTAGCTCAAAGATCATACTGACTCTCTTAAAGGGTGGCGAGTAGTCTACCTCCCACTCTGGTCCGTCGGGCCCCTCAGGGTGGTACTTCACCTTGTATCCTCCAGTCACGTACTTTACTATACCTGAAGACATACAGGTAAATAAATAACAATGGTTACCAAAGTCACCATACCTGGGGGCACACAAGATAAACATATTGTTTAATAACACCAATTTAACCTTTGACTGTTTGCTGCAGCCTTGTCTTGGATCCAGGAGTCCTGACATGAAGCAGCAATCAATAAATTTCTTCAAATAGATATTAGATACTTGATATAGTACCTCTAATTAAACCATTCCAACTTACAGAGAATACTGATATGTTTAGAAGCTATGGTCTGGAAAAGATATCGGGATGGCCTAACAGACAAGCTTACATGGTGTGATCCTACAGTCCGCCCAGTTACACAAGTAGGCACTAAAACTTCAACTAGGTGACAGACACACAGATGTACAAATAAGTTAAGCCCCAGCCACATTTATATGTAGCAAGGGCATGAAAATATTTTCTTATACAAAACATTTCAAAGAGTTACAAAAATTAAACTTATTCATCCTGTTAACATTACATTAGAGAATAGGAAATGTAAACAGATATTCCAACAACAGAAAATGTCTTTTTCAAACCTATGCTTTACATCAACTGCAAGAGAGGATAAAATCTGTTCAGATGTTGCATATCTTACCTGATAGAAGTTGTTCTGTGATCTTCATGAGGTCCTCGTAATCAGCATATGCCATATAAAACTCGCACGTTGTGAACTCTGGGTTGTGTGTTAGATCTATTCCCTCGTTTCTGAACTGTCGGCCAATTTCATACACCCTATCTATACCACCTACGACTAACATCTGTAACATAGAAGTGAAATGTATGAATCTAAGACAAGTCGAACATAGCACATTTCATAAAATTCGCAAAATTTTCATTGTTTAGTTGATGATATATTTCAAAGAAATAATTTTCACAGATACAGGAAAAAAACGAATTGTCTTTCCTAAGTTTGAAATTCTACAAGAAATGGCCTGGAAATTATGAAACAACTTTCTGTCCAGACCCACCTTGAGATAGAGTTCTGGTGCAACTCTCATAAACAGGTCCATGTTGAGATCATTGTGATGGGTGATGAAAGGTTTGGCTGTAGCACCACCAGGTATCATGTTCATCAGGGGAGTCTCCACCTAAAAGAAAGAGAAACAGAATCTTAGTATTGGTGTGCACTATTTTCAAATCAACACTTTTTTTTTCTCCATCTTTTATCTTTCTATCTTCTACAGCTTATCACTAGCATTGCTACATAACACATACTCAAATAATCCCCAAGCAGGGAATAGCAGAGAGTTATCATTACTACTAGAGTAGAAAATAATTTTTAAAAATCAGCAAGGGCTCGTACACTTAAACCATATCACCTACAATTATTCGCACATTAGGATTTTACTTAAAAAATGTGATCAACTGTGAACTTTGACCTTTTTACCATGACCAATGACAACCAAAATCTAATAAGGAGTAGAAATTGATGTGAGAAACAGTAGTGATGATTATGGCCAATATATTGTGACAGATGATTAGTTTTTAATTCAAATAGATAGGTAGAAGTAAAATTGCTAAGGTTATCCCAGAAAAAAATTATGTAACCCCCACCCCTCTGTGATAGATGGCAGGGTAGTCATTTTTCTATTAAATATCCTTTGGGTGGTTGTTTGACCAGTTATTTAAATAGTATTCCTATTTCCAAAGTTGAAATATATATACATATTGCTGTATAATTATAATAAAGAAAACTTGTGCTCATCCAGTTTAGATAATTCAACAATAAATGAAATCTCACCTCAAGAAATCCCATCTCGTCTAAAAACTTTCGCATATAATTTATAATCTTTGCTCTGGTAATGAATTTCTGTCTCGTTGTTTCGTTAATGATAAGGTCGAGGTAGCGCTGTCTGAAGCGGGTCTCCTTGTTTTTGACTCCATAAAACAGATGTGGCAGCTGATGAAGGCAAGGTGTTAGAAGAACCAGTTTGGTTGGAACTATACTCAGCTCACCTTTCTTGGTCTTACCTGTACAGAGGGAAATGTTATCCATTATATAAGCATTTACTTGTATGGCAGAAATGTACTCCTATTGTCCAAAGTAGGAGGTATATCTTTTGCATATACATGTACCATTCTTTAACATAAACATTATCAGTTTGAAATAATGTTCTAGCAGATAATGTTATGATAATCTAAAATTTAACTTTAATTACATTTTTTATGAAGAGATCTACTATATATGGATAGTGGGTGTTGTTGGGTACCTATAAGCTGACACTAACTCAAGTTCTTTGGTTCACAATCTAATACAAGTACCTGGCTTTCCCTCAACTCCCACTATATCTCCACGTCGCAATTTGTCGTTAATGGCCATAAAAGCTTCCTCGGATTCGTAGCATCTGAAACACAGAGAAATCTGATATCCTGAATAGAGTCCTAAATTTCGAATGTTTTCCAAAATTGTCTGTAAAAATATTGTAAAATAAAAACCTAAACGTTGTTAAAACATGAAGAAGATATATTATGGACATTTAGCAATATGGAGTTTCAAATATGAAATTCATCATAATGGAACAGTTCTTTTCAAATTTAATCTGTCCATTTTACAGTCAAGATAAAGGACACCCTTTAGTTGTTGACACATAATTATGAAGATATTGTCTTATGGTTTGGAAACTTAGCTCACACATCACATGTGACACTCTGTGCACTCGGACTTACTTGGCATTGGCCATTATCTGTATTTTGACTCCCTCTCCTCTCAGATCATAAAAGATTAACTTTGGACCTTGTATCCTCTTGGCATGGAGACGACCTGTAAATACATATATAAACAAGTTCTAACCTTCTATTCAATTCAATAAAAATAAAGATTTACTAAGTTTTAGGGTAGAGGTTTCTTCAATAGTGGAATAATCGTCCTCTGCTCTTCATCTGTGTACCCAAAAGTATGCAGGCCTAGGGTGATGGAGTAAATTGGATTACATAGTCATAGATTCAATCACAACAGGCAAAGGAGCATGTAGTTCCTGTAATTTTTAGAAGAGTTAACTGGTTTCACCTCTCCATTGGGCTTTTTCAGTCTTTAAGAGGCCTACTTTAGGTGTGAAACTGGTTGACAAATGTACAGACAAATATCAAATTCATTAGAGAAGCCAGGTTAAATCGGATAATTTCTTAACAATTTTACATCTATTCTCTTCAAAATTAAACAATGTGTAAGCCACAATTGGTGCAAATTGATATTCAACATACATAAATTGTACAGGGTCCCTTTTAATGAATATCAAAGTAAGCAAGGATTCACAAAAGTACACTTCAATGAGCTTTTGACCTTAAATGTAACTATGTATACAACACAATATCTGATCAATATTCCATCTTTGCGTATTGCAGAGTTATCTTCTCTTGGTAGCAGGTATTGATTGTTACGTCATTGGTTTGTGCGAAAAAATTACGTCGTTTTCTCAAAAATTGATGATGTTACTCTCACAAACAAGAGACGTAACAATCAATACCTGTTCCCAAGAGAAGATAACTCTGCAATACGCAAAGACGGAATAGCCATATCTAGTATCTCAACCAAACTAAGAGGGCACTTACCAGACACACTTAGAGATTGCTGCAGTGTCTCTCCAGGGTTGATATCATTGTACTTCTCTATGAAATCTGTCAGAGATATACTGACGTGAAACTTGTGGGGGTAAGGGTTCTCATTGTTCTCCTTCCACTGGCGCACAGAGTTGGAGCGAAGGGCAAAGTATTCCTGCCAATCAATAACAAATGTACAGGTATACATGTCATGCAATGTTCAAACTTCAACATCATCATCATTGATAAATATGTATACTCATCTCTGCTTGCACAAGCTACACTATATTCTCGGGTGAAAGATGCTTTTTTTTTTTTTAAATCCCAACTATTTTGGTGTCAGAATAGTTTCATAATTTAATTGTCTTTATATTTCTCCCCCTTGAGCATTTAGATTTTTTTTTAAATACATGAAAACCGATACTTTGTAAACAAATTAAAACAAATCACCAAGTCAGAGATATATTAACTCATGTTAACAGTAAGTACTTGGATTTCATAAATAATATAGATGAGCAGGCACTTCAGATTGAGTGACTGGTCAATGGGTCCAAACAACCTAAGTATATATAACTAGATGACAAAACTTTATAATGTAAACTTATCAGATAAGAGCATTCATGAAATGGCACATCCAGAAGCTATGCAATGGAAAACATTGCTGAAGCAAATCACCAAAGTGAAGAGAGAACAAGAGTAATATGGGTCAGACATCTATCTGTCAAATATTATTAGAATGTGGTGAAAAACCTTGACAATCCCAAGGAGCTTGGAAAAATTTACAGAGAATTTTTTTCCAAGAAGTCATCTTCCCCAACAATACTTAAGTGTTGAAAATGAGACTGTTTGGAACAACAAGAAAATTGCAAATCATTCTAACACATTCCTTTCAGCAGCAGCTGTAAAATTTACTTCCTCTTTAGGCAACACAATATGAAACCGAACTTTCTAAAGCCTCTTAATTTACAGAGAATTTATTTCCAAGAAGTCATCTTCCCCAACAATACTTAAGTTTTGAAAATGAGACTGTTTGGAACAAAAAGAAAATTAATAATCATTCTAACAGATTTACTTCCTCTTTAGGCAATACAATATGAAACCAAACTTTCTAAAGCCAAACTGTCTTTAAACAGAGATCTGCAAAGAACACTGCTATATCTCATGATGCTTCTGAGTCAGTGTAAAAAAATACGAAAAACGGTCAGCTAAACTAAGACTGTTTACAGTAGCTTGACTAGATACAGATTTTAAATGAATGTGTATGCATCAGCTCTTAAAATCTGTCCTTACAGTGGCATCAATCTCCTCTTCCTCATCTTGTAGTTTTGGTTTAGCATCTGTTTGACTCTCTGCTGCCTTTTTGTCCTTCTCTTTCTTTTCCTGTTCCTTCTTCTCTGTCTTCAGACGCCGCTTCAACTCACTATAATCAAAAAATGGTTTAGAAATGGATTATCTATGAATTCAAAGCCGTCTCAATCATTGCAAGTATTGATTAAGGCGTATCAATGCAAAGATTGGATAAAGTTTTCTACAAAACTAAGTAAATGACACTTGGCATCTTTACCAATTTGAATTACTAGATTTTTCAAAGGATACCTTATATATATTTTTACCAGTTCCAGCTGCAAACAAGTATTTGTTAACTTATCTAGCTATAGCCCATGGTAACATGATAAGGCACTTCAATATGTATTTTTAAACATATTTGTTGTTGTGCTAGTCCTAATGAAGAATATGAATCCAGAAGTAAGCATTTTACTTAACAAAATTCACAGTTGACATACTGTATTCAGATAGGATCTGAGCTGCAACTCTCTTTTCCAGGTATTTCCATACAGCATCAAACACAAAAATACAGTTTTATCAGTTATACCCACTTTTTCTTTGAAATTATATCAGTGTAATTTTTGCCCTGAAATTACGTTCTCAATGGGAAATTCAAACAGTAGGTGTTTTCCTTTTTTTCTTTTATGTAAATCAAAAGTAACAGCTGTGAAATGAAGTATTTTAATGTTTTAAATGGTATTAAGGCAGAAAATACACTTTTCCGGGAAAGATGAAATTCACAATTTGCAATTGCATGCACTTGTTGGTGACACATTTCACCCAAACCCGAAACTCCGGCCCAAATCCTTAAAAAGCCAAAAATTACACTGGATATATCACAATTCAATCACAATTTTGATATATCCCTACCTGGAGCACATGAAATTATGGGAAGCCGATGCATGGAACAGATTTATTGTAGGAAAAGGGTTGGCAGGTCTGCAACCCCCAGTCTTGATGGTGAAAGTTTTTAATAGACGAGGCACCAAAGGGTGAATTCTCTTCATAGGAGAAACAAACATCTTGTCCCTCCCAACACACCCAAAATGGAGATGTCTTACTTAAGTTCATTAAGAATCCTAGCTAGCTGGTGTCTTTGCTCCTATACGAAATACACAAGAACAAAGATTTTTTTTATAGAAAAAATAGTTAAAATACTCAAAAACACCTCCACTTGATAATTATTATGATTGATCTCGGTCTCAAACTAAATATATCTATTTCATTTTCTAGGCTGTTCAATAAGGATCCCCTTTTACCTAGCTTTTATTGTTAGTTTTGTTTGAAAGCTGCCTTGTTAACAAATATTATTAACACTTTGAATTTAGTTTGTTAAAATACACTGACCACCTTAAATCTTGACATGTAGCTCGGAACGTTATCTAAATATTAGGCCAATATGACATTTTCAAACCAAAATAAATGGAAATTCTTTCTGAACCCATAAAAAGTAATCTGTCAAGGTTTTTAGAGTCAGGAAAACATTCTGCATTAACTTTCATATTCTATTAAACAGTTAACTAATTTGGGAAACGATCATACTGTTTTACAGCTCCTCACCATGAGAAGTCATCCTGTGAAGTTTCAAGGCCTGTAGCATATGTTGTAGCCTAAGGTTACTTTATGTTCGGAATTCTCTACCTCCTGGTACAGTAGCTCACTGACCATGACCTTTGACCTCATGTTAATAAAGTTCTTACTTGACCCATCAGAATTTATCCTGTGCAGTTTTATCAATGATGCCCACGGTGCAAAAATAATCAGGGGTAGAAACTATAACACTAGTCCGCTAGTCCTGGACTAGTAGATTTCAGCAACGACCATATTTTCATGGCAGTAGTTTATATTAAGTCCCCTACATTTGATATTTCGTGCTGTAGATTGTGATGTTTCCTTATTAGGAAATCTTGGACTAGTTACATTGACGAAGGACTAGTAAATAATCTATTCAACTAGTCACGTGGACTTCCAAGCAAAAGAAATTAGTGTCTAACCCTGATAATCTACTTATTTTCAGTCCACAAACGACTTTTGTACAATGGTACCTGAGCAATTAAAGGACTTCTATAATCGATGTATCCAGTACCTATATTTTGGCGACTTTTGGGGATATACCTTTTGGCTTTATTTATTGGCCATGATTGAAATGATGTTTTTGTCTGTTCACATGACATCTTGCATGGCGAGAATGAGTAGGCAAGAATGAGTAGGCGAGGTTTCAAAAAAGTAGATAGCTGATATTTCTTGCCAAAGAGGCAGTAGCTAGTCCAACTAATTTAATTCTGTGATTATCATCTCATGTATTAATTTATTGTCAATACTTACTTTTTAGAATTCAAAGCTACAGTACTGTTTAAAACACCTGAAGCAAACTCTTGATCCACAGAAGCTGTTTCCATCGCTGTATTTAACTTATAAAGTATAACTAAAATGTCTTATAGTGTCCATTTGTATCAAACCACATTAATGCAGCAGCATTCAATGAAGAAAATCCACATTTCTTACATATTATACAGCTTGAAATATATATACTAGTCCTGGACTGATATTTCACCATCATTAAAAACAAAGAAGGATTTCTAAGGGTTACATCATCTCCACTTTCCTGTACGTCATGTACTTCAGAAACTGTGATATGTATTTATAGTATAGGCTGAATTATTGCATCACCAGCCAGTGACTTGATGACCTTTGACACTAGTCTATCTATGTATGTCAGTTGGGGTCCTAGATATATATTTATAAATATACTAATTTCTATGCAACTGGCATGACAACGAATATGCTGTCTCCTTAGAATTATGCTGACCTTAATGGATTATTATTCAGGCTTATGTGCTTACATTTAAAAATTGAGACTTATATATATAATTATCATCCATAATGTCTCTCTAGGTAGTTGTAGAATGAATTTCCAGTATGCAACATTCTCTTCAATGGACTGAACAAATAATATAATGCAAAATAATAATAGGGCACTCAATGGAGTATTAATTCTTAATATTTGTGAAAATTTTCATTTGCAATCAATATTCACCACAAAACTAAAGATGGATACAATATCGTACAGAATATTTCTGTGATTTCAAGAAGCTGCAGGCACCCATGTGTCAAAATTCTCCATTTATTTAAGTAACATCATGGAAATTCTATTCGAGAGAGAAGTATTGTGCACAATTCAACTGCTACTACCCCTTAAAACACTCAGGAGAAGTTCTTTCCTGGAGAGTTGAGGGGAGGAGTAAAATACTAGCAGCTTTCCTTAAACTTCACTAAAGGGATTTCCTCTTTAGGTCATTTGGTTGAATGTCAAAGCAAGTAAACCAGAGATCCTAGATTTGATCTATAGTGGAGTCATTGAAAAAAAATGCCTCTGATGCATACATACCAACATAAACAATATTACAATTGTTCAAATGTAATAAATTGTCTATATTATTTTATCCTTCAGGATTACATAATAATCAATGGTAAGATGAACAGGTGGTATGGCTTATCAAACTATTAACAAAACTGGACAATTGACTATTGAATTATTTTCGGAAAGTGGCATAACCTACATGTACAATATGTCCGTATCTGTCATTGAATGTGTGATTTTCTATAACTACTTTGAATCAGAACATTAGAACACCACGGTTCTCAATGTGTCCAAGTTTTGAGGAATATTTTTATCATTTAATTGAGAGGATACATTCAAATGTTTTATCACATTTTCTCAAGCCATAGCATTAGCTGCGCTAACATAGCTCCTGATGACAAGCCATTTTAATAAACTGTATTGGCAGATGTGGTTGGGCATTATATTATATTAGTACAACTCACTCTTCTCAACCTGATCTGGCCTGTTTATCGTATGCGAGAGTTCCCTCTGGCCCTGACACCAGACTTGAGACATTTTGACAGATAGATAATGATCAGACATCTATCTGTCAAAATGAATAAGTGTGGTGTCAGTGCCAAAGAAAGTTCGGGCTAGCTTAGAGCATAGGGGTTCGTTACAAATGTCTGTTCCTTTATGCTATACTGATATGGGTCACAGCACACATGAACCTGTATGTGGGCTGTGACCCATATCGGTAAAGTATATGTGCATTTCAGACATTTGTAATGAACCCCTGTGCTTAGAAGTTAGAGTGAGAAATGTCACTTGTCTTCTGTATAATGCGTGACTAGATTAAAGAGGATTTAAATTTCTATAGAAACGAGCAATGTTTCAACAAAATAGTGTTCGTGTTTAAATATGTACACAAAACGTGTAAACAATGAATGATGCAACTTCCCCCAATCGAAATGACAGAAGACAACGTCGGCGACTGTGATTAGTTCAGTGTCATTCGGCTTGCTTTTTTATCGCGAGTACGTAAATATTATGAATTCGATTGAACAGCGTAATACAACAATACTTAACACGTGAATTTTTAGATATTTCCCAGCAAATTATTACAAAATATACCCACTTTTTACTGATTTTTTCTTCTGCCATTTCTACTGTATAACACGTGCGCCAAATTTTGTGTCAAGATCACTGTCATAGAAATGTTTTGTACACAACTCGGTTAAACTAAACAAGGCAAGCATTTTAGTGCGACAGACACGAGTCGGGGAGCCTACTAGAAACCTGTTTCTAGTGGAATTGACCGGAATAGGGTTATTGGTTGCGTATTAAAAACTTATATTTTAATACATTGGTGGAAAGGTTCATAAGATTCCAGAAGAGGAAATGCATATTCTCTTTGTTTCCCGAAGTGTAAAAAAACATTAACACAACACCAAATATGTCCGTGATACAGTTCAATTCGCGATTTACAAACAAGAGGCCTAAAGGGCATTATCTTTAAGCAACCATGGTAAGATGTTCTCATAATAACAGTAGTATGGCAAGTCCAACAGGTAATGCCAGTCCCGGACAAATCCTGGTAACATATGAGTATTCAAACCCCTATGCTCAGTAATTGTATTTTCTGTTAAAAGATGGGGATCTCGACTGTTTCAAATGTATTCCTTTATGGCAGGAACAAACCAAGCGGCGATTCTAGTAGCATGACTTAGTTAGTTACGTTATGCCCAGTATTTGTATATATGATTATGGGTTGGGGATCTTAACTGTTTCAAAGTTATGACGCAAGAACTTAGTCTTCAATGGTGGGGCCAGACCACGGAGCCATCCTGGTAGCATCTGCGTATTCGTTTCTTTATACTCAGCCGCAGGTGCTGGATACCCTACTATAATATTATGTATATACACATCATATTAGTGTGTTCATCACCTGTGTATTCAGAGCAATGACATATATGGTTATAGGGCAGGAGTTTTAATAATTTCATAGTTAAAAAAAACTCTTCTTGGCCCCATCCCCCGGAGTCCGCCCTCATACAATTTTGAATCCCCACAACCAGTGAAATATGATTGCATCTCATAATTCCAGAGAAGTCACTTAAAGCAATATGGCCAAAATTTACTTTTGGTCCATCTCTCAACCCCCTTCCCTCCCGGGGACCAGCCCTTCCACATGTACAATTTTAATTCCGCACTACATAAGAATGCTTCCCGGAAACAAATATTGCCGATATCAAGCGCTTAGCTTCAGAGAATTAATAAGGTCATTCAAATCATTATATGGCCAAATGTCTCTCTTTTGACCCCTGACGGGGTTTGCCCTTCCGTTTCTACAATTTTGAATCTCCGTCACTTGAGAATGCTTTCAACCAAATATTGATGATATCCAGCCCTTAAATTATTTCCAGAGTAGAGGTCGCTTTAAGCAATAAGGCATTTTTTTTTCGTTTTTGTCCACGCCTCTCATCCCTCCAGGGGTCGGCAAGCCCTTCCGTTTGTGCAATTTTGAATCCTTGCCACTTGACAATGCTTCCAATCAAATATTGTTGATATCGGACGACGGGTGCTATATGGTTTGACATCAGCTCACTTTGGCCCTTCGGACCAGGCCTGTTTTTATGAAACCGTGTTTATGCTCAAGCAAAGATTCTGTGCTGAAGTCAACGCTCTGGTAACTTGCATAAACCATGTGAACACCCGGTCAGGAAGTCTAGTATAGAAAATGAAAACGATAATTGGCTATCAGTCTCTCCAAAATTCTTCCAAATCATTGACAAGAATGTGATTTTTTTATTACTTTATCACAGGATTAAGATGTCGTGTTTGAGCATGAACACGTTTTCATGAATACGGGCCCAGGTGAGTTAAAACACAGAACGATACGATACGGAACAAAATATTACTAAACCACAGAAAAGGTTGTAGTCTTAGTCGGTGATATAGCACAATATGCTACTTTACATGAATTTTCTTGTTCAAATGGCCTATTCACTGACTATCTGAGATATATGTTAATGTCAGTTATATTTCCCGAACTCCAGGCCTTTTAACTCTTTACAGTTTTCAAAGTTCTGTATGTAAATCTCAGGATGAGATAACAATGACACTATGCTATGAAATAATGCAAAGAACAGCAAGAATACATCAGAATCTGTCCTCAGTTGCAACGCGTGGTCTTCAACTAGCGAATTGAAATGGCACAGGTCATCTTAGATAACGCTGCGAAATATCAGCTTAGAGAAATGCAGTTGAGTTTGGAAATACTTCCAGATATAAATTAATTGATACAAGAGCTATATTCATACGAAGATGATAACAACGACTAGATATACTATAAACTCAATGAACATGTGTTTACACAACTTCGCGAGCCAAGGGTGTTCAATACGATGTATCGTATTGAACACCCTTGGCTCGCGAAGTTGGTGTTAACAATGAAAGAGAAAGTTTGAGAAAGGGTTCAAGTGCTGTCACGTAAAAGGGTCTCAATCTTTACGGACTAGAAAGGCATCAGCATTTTAGGTTCAGGGGCGTAGCTTCCAAGTTTGGCGTTGTATTAGGCACATGCCTGCGGTTCAGTTTAACAAAATGAGAAGTTTTTGTTGTTATTGCCCAATATCTTTTCCGCCGGAACCAATCAGGAATCCGGTATTGCAACGTAAATGTAGTTCGAGGAACTTGCGAAACCGAAATGCAGAGCCAATAGATTATTGTCTGCTTCTTTTCGCATTGATCTTACATGTAGGTATTACACCGAATATCCCGAACATACACCGAATTATATCACATTTTCAAACACGGTATTACTCACAAGTCTTCAATAGATGTCACCAATCATTATTAACTGTGTAAAGTATTTAAGAAAGTACAGAACACGTTTTAAAGGTAATACAAGTGTTTATTACCGAAAATAAACAGTGTAAAAAGTAAAATAACTCATCAAATATCTCACGCGATGTCAGGTGTAATCCAAATTTCACAGATACGTACACACTAATAATTATCGTCTTTATAGTAGTATTTAAATAAACTGAAATAAAGACCATTGTCTAAGATCTTTCCATAGTGAAGTATTTGTGTCCTGGTTGAAGTCATCTACCGACAGGTTTCGTTTCTTATTCAATTGTCAAGGCACTAAGTACTTCACGTAGGCACCTATACATTCACAATACAAAAATGTTTTGTGTTTAAACCTTCCCGGAACGTAAACAGATCGTTAATTACTGTTACTGAAATAGGATTTTAGCGTCAATGTTCTGATTATTATAAACAATACAAATGGTTTTGTGTTTAAACCTTCCTGGATCGCAAACAGTGAGTTTAATGTTACTTAAAATAGGATTTTAGCGTCGTTGTTCCGATTTTTATGAAACTCTACATATACATGTACCGGTATTTTCACAATTATACCTGTTGTATTCGTTTCCACTTTATGGGAACAAAATGAGGTCACTATTACTATTTATAATTTTGGTATGTTCACTAAACAGATTTAATATTTTACCTTATTTCCATGCAACTTCACATACATGTACACAAACATTACCTCTATACGAGTTTGCATTTCAACCTTCTGGTATTCACCTTAGCTATATTCTTATCTTATTGTTGTGAAATGTCTCGCCTGTGCTAATAAACATATCTTGAACAGGTTCCTGATTTCATCTAACGGGATCGAAAGCACGGTACTGTTACTATAATAACTTTGGTGTACTTGCTTTGTCATCCTCGATACTCCAGGGGTTACGCTGACACTTACGCTCTCTGCACCCCTGGAATATGTCATAGCAAAATTGAAGGCTCAGTGTGTGCCACCTTGTTGATGAGACAAGAAGACAAGTTCGATCCTTTGATGTACATCAAAAGAATCTCGCGGTCACGTAACGGTAAAAATTGACAGATTTTGAAGTCGGGCGTCTCTCCTTTGTAATCTGCAAAGGACAGGTATCAGCCTAGCGATTGGTCAGTGTGTTTTTTTTGTTTTTTTTTATCTGAGACCAATCAAACAGCTCTCTTCGAGCCTTCAATTTTGCTTTGACGTATATTCCAGGGGTGTAGAGAGCGTAAGTGAGCGTAACCCCTGGATATCGAGGATGTTGATTTGTACACTCCATATATTATACGATCGTCATGATACCTGAACCACATTGCCACAGAAATTAATTCTTGTTTTGGCTTTTATAATAAGAGCTCTGTTTATTAACATTAATGCAGTAATTGACACGCTCTATACTCAAAGCATTTCTGATTACAACCAAAATTGAGGATAATAGTATCGCTTGTGCTGCCTTTTTAAATTTAGATATTTTTTATCGTATGATGATGGCATTCACTGGCAATCTTGCCATTTGAGGGCCATTTTATTCAAAATGTCACTTCGCGGAAACATCACATCCTGGACAAAAACAGTATGACAGATGAACTGTTCAAATCTAAAAACAAGGCAGGAATTTTAGGACTAGCAGTGCCCTATACTCCAGCTAATGGAAGATTTTCATATTTGTAACAGCAAAACAAGAGGCACAGAGGGCCTGTATCGCTCCCCCGTTTCTTTTGTTACATGAACCTGACATATAGGTAACTTCAGACCTTTTAGTAACTAGAACACAAGACATTTTAACATCTCTTAAACGCTTCTGAAGATATTATTTGTTTAAAATTTGGTGAATTTTAATTTTAAGTTTTTAACCCACATCGACCTTAAAGTCTGGCTAGCACTTAGAATTGAACTTTGACCTCATTATTGTAATAAAGAAAACGAACGGTTCACACAGCTGGTCTACATAACATACCCAAGTATCATGAATCTAGACCGAATGGTTCTAAAGATATTGTTGTTTGAAGTTTTTAACATAGTTGACCCCTATGACCTTGAAATTAGGTCAAGGTCATTTTTATGGGAAACTTTATAGCATTCCATCCCAGGTACCTACTGGCCAAATATCATGGTCCTAGGTCCTCCAGTTCTTCAGAAGAAGTCGTTCAAATGAAAAAGTTGACGGACTGACGGACAGAGTGGGGTGTGTTCTTCTGTGCCTTCTGCATTGAAAAAAACACCAAGAATTGTTCTGCTGTCCCCATTGCAACATTTAATTTAAGATCTTTATATTTTCTCTCTGCTTTCAAACAATCTTCTGGTTTCCCTAGCGCCCTTCCTTAGGAATACCTCAGTAATGTCCTTAATGTTAAGCGCTCGCCCAAGTGAGGAAGCAGGCCGGGACATACCAACGTCTTGAAATTTGTAGTTGTTATTCTCTGCTTAAGGTTATGGCAACAACTGGTTTGTCAATGTAATGTGACCGGGTCAGAAGCTATGCTGGGCCCTTTGACATGATATTTCAGTAAGATAGCACTCCAAAGTAGGCACCAGAGTTGTACTACCAACAGGAGAAAAATACACCGACATACCCGGCTACCAGCATGCATACAAACATGGAGGCACGTCCTTAAATGACCTTAGTGGTTGATAGCACATTACACCCTAGAAAAACAAACCAGTGTCACACAGAAAAGACCAAAACTGATGTGCAGCTGATATTGCAACAATTCAGATCGGTCTTTTTTTCTGTTTTGCCTCGTCTTTGCTGTAGGTGGTGTCTATTAGGCACCCATTTGACCCTAGTTGTTGCAAGGACGTTAATCCCCATACGAATCAACAAACAACAGTATCAATAAACAATGTTTTGGCAGAACAGACATATTTATTAAATACATCAACTAGTTCACCAACCATGCATACCACAGCTGGCTAACTCGCATATTGAACTATCCAAACAAACAAGACGTCTCTAAATACAATTTAAGTACCAATCTACATTTCAAAAATTGTATTCATCATGTTTAATCTTTAGACATCATCATCAACTGGTGGTACATTTTTTTTTTAAATCAAAAAGTAAATTTTTGACAAATACACTTTTGCATAAAATGATATATTGAACATTCAATTTCTGGTAAGTTTCTGTTTGTTGATATGCCATTCTAATTCTCACCAGAACCTCAGTATATCTGTTAACACTTAGTCCTTAGGGAAGAAATTGACATTTTACAATTTAATTCTTACATAACTGCTATACATTATTCTGCTCCAAGACCAAGTGATAATTTTGATAGAATTTTGACAATCATCAGTTGATGTACATGACCTTCACCCGAAAAAATGACTTGAAAATACCCTCAGTAACAGTTTGAGTCTGCCATGTCCAAGACAAATATCTGGTAAAGATTGTAGTCTAAAATTGTATTGTCACAGTGTCTATAACCATTGCCATTACATATTTTACAAACAAAAACAGAAAAACTAAATTATACATCAAGTTTACTGTGCCACAACTAGAAAAATTCAGTTATTGCATAGCTGTCAACCCTTCCACATTAGCAGGGAGACTCCCTGATTTTGACCAAAAATTACCAATTTCCCTCGAAACTCCTCTCATTCAAGTCCAAACTCTCACACAAACTCAAAATCTACATTCTGTGGTCAAATGATCTAGTTACTGCAGGGTGTTTGTAATGATCATAACAGGTGTGACTTGATCTAATGAATGCTTTTTAGAGTTATTTTGATACATAAAACATGAAAGATGAATTGAGCAAAGCAGTTTCAGTCGTGTTTCACGCACTTTCTCGCTCATTGGAAATGTAGAATGAGGGAAATCTCCCTCATTGGAGGTTTTAGAGGTTGACATCTATGTTTTTGGAATTGGTGGCAATATTCAGGCAGGGTAGAAATCCAGCATTAAGCACCAAATTAATAAAATTCCAACAGCTTCTGTACTGTAATCCTGAATATTGGAACAGTAGTCAGCTGTTCGTGTGACATGAGAAACAGTTTATCCCATATCTGACATACAATTATCATAATTTTTCCAATATTACTGATTTTAAGCACCTTACCAATGGCACAATTCTGCATTTAACCTTTTCACCCCTATGTAACTTTAGTACACTCTACTATGTATTGATCTGGTAAAGTCCATTATGGTCTACAGTGGTGAAAGGGTTAACTTCTATAGTTACTGATTGACTCTAAAACTTTATGGATATATAATTCTTGGCATGACGGATTGTCACATACATAACTCCCAACAATTGTCACTTCTGATATACTAATCATTTCTATAGCTGCACAACACAATGGACTCATACAGCAACTTAGTAACTAAGGCATGAGAAAGCACCAAAATTTAGCACACACGATCATCAAATGCCAAAATTTGGCACACAAATTTTTAACACACCCCCCCCCCTTTTTTTTTTAGCAAAACGCCAAATTTCGAGTTACAACAAAATATCCTAAAGTACGGTACATTGTTCAAACTTATCTGAATTCAAACACCACCGGGACCAAATTCAGTTTGTCTCTATTTTCCAGAAATAGAAACACACATAAGTTTAAAAAGAAAATTCTTGGGTATATATCAGTAATGACAATAACTATTCTGATTAATATCTAAGTCTAACAAAAGTCAAGAACACATATCTATACCCTGCTTAATTCTTTAAAACAAAATTAATGCGACCAAAGTTCTGTTAAAGAACCTTTTTTCATCTTACAAATTTCTGAAAATGTTGACATCTTGTAAAAATAATGCCCCTCCCTAATGGATCCAAAGATAACTGAATCAGTTAAAGTTTCCATTTTAAAACATGACTTACAAGGTATTTGTTTACACTCTATTGTACCATTATTGATACATTGCAAAAATACAAATCATAAGTGACAAAGCCAGATTAAAACAAAAGGAGAGAAACAATTCCTGAATATTTAGATCTGATACATTCCAGCAAAATCATCAGAAGCAAGAACAACATTAACAAAACTTCAAACACCAAGGATGTAACAGCTCATCTTTAGGTATGCAAACATAGGTAGTAATAAAACATGCAATTTATTATTTCAAAATGAGAAATATATCACAATGATTGCAACGCATTACAAGGTACAACATTGGTTTAGGTGGCAATACACAGTCAATAGTTTTAGATATATTTTGGTAAATGTATAGGTATTTGTAGGAGGGGGTAAGGGGCAGAGCTGATTACCTGGTAAAAAGTCTGCAGAGTTGATATCATATCATCAATCTTGGCACAAAACCAGAGTATGCACATTACATCATATCAATATAACATTATGTAAATTATGTACTCTAATCTGACAGTAATACATATATCCTGTCCTCGAGTACGTACAAAACAGGTTAATACTGGAGACAACAAAAAAATTGACCAGTAAGTTTTATGCATATACCCTGGTATCCAATAAACATATAACGTAAATTGTTATACATGTACCTTCTAACAAACATTTAAAGGTTTTAACATTTGTAGGTGTCTTGTTTGGAAGCTACACTGACTAAATGACATCTCATTATTAATGCCTATAGTTTGTTAACATACAAGTACATATCAGTAAACTTTTATATCTTAATCCTTATTGATGTTTATATACTAATTTTTGTTTCCAATTATGTTTTTTAAGCAAAATTTGATTTTTATTGATTTTTTTTTTATAAATAGTACTATAAAAACATCGCAAGAATGCACAAGTTTCCAGGTTCAGGTAAAAATTGAACCCATATTTTCGCTCCAGTTTGTTTCAGGTAACATGCCTGAAAAAAAGGGTAGGGCGGAATGTTATTTTAGTGTTAATTTTTTATTTTCCTGAATTAATATCATGATTTATTTCAAATTTTACAAATATCTATAGGGTTCGGCAGTAAAATCTACGGTAGGTTGGGAGACCTGCAATATATATTTTTTTGTTTGGCCTTATCTGTATGTATACACTGCAATGCAAATTCGCATATTTTAAAAAACATTAAGTGTGCAAGCACAAAAGTTAATTATACAAAGCGATACCCTACATTTTGACAATGTTATCAGTATTGTAAATCTCTCTCATATATCTACAAATCTAGAGGAATTCTGAAACCTTCATAGAGGGAGGTTTTTTTCTGAACAACTCTCCACGGGGCAGGATGCACACAATTTATGCTGATATTTAAGTTAGTTGGGAGAATGTGGTGTATCATTATTTCCACAACTTCAAACTTGGATTTCATGTATTTTGACAAAAATAACAAAAGTAACCATCAAAAAATATTTCCAATAAAAGTAATTTCCGCAGGGTTAATGGAGCGTTACAACACATATCGGGAGTTATTATACCCTGTAGCAGACTGGAAACCATTAAACCAACACTGCGGTATATATTACTTTGTAGTGATGTACCAATGTTTAAAATCTTACAAGTAGCAAAATGAATTGAAACACTCCCACTGAAAACCATTAAAATGTGTTATCATTGTGGTTATAAATAACTTTGTTATTTTGTATGTTTAAAATCTTACAAGTGGCAAAAGGAATTGAAATAATCACTTCTCTAAGAGTATTTGAGTAATTTATTAAAACACTTAACAGTTAATAAATATCACCCATAAATTCCATTTCTCTGAGTATATTATCCATGGAGATCTATAAATTCTAACGTTATAATACAGAAGACCTCAGTGGACACTGAGCATTAAATACTCCTTTAAGAGTGGAGGCAGAGGTAGACATTTGATTGAACAGCCAATGCTCTTTCCTAAACACTGCTCCTTAAGGTGGTTTCGTAAAACTAAACGGCAAGATGCCTTCAAGCTTGGAGCATCCTTACAGACAAGTGCTTTGAGCTCAATAATATCTTGCCAGACTATTTTCAGGTTTAATTTCCCACCAATGTCTCCGGGAGACAAGGGAAGATAATCATACAACAAAGTAATAAGCAAGTCATTGTCACGACTGTTTAGAAATCGGCACCATAATTCTTTATTTTCAGAGTGAGGTTGATTTGTAACGCATCCATGCTGTACAAGAGTTTGACATATATTGAAGAAATGCTGTTCTGCTGCAAGCTCAAGTGGATCCTGGAAAGTGACTTTACAGAGCAGATTTTCTGTAGAATATAAAAACTTAGCTTGCTTAGCATTCATCAGAGCACCATGGTTCAGGAGGAATTCAACAAGCTGCACATTTCCGTGTATGATAGCCATGTGTAAGACAGTGTCACCTGATCGACTGGTGGCATTGATGTCACATCCATAATCAATCAACTGCTGGTGAATTTCTATTTTGTTTGTGAAAAATCCTGGTGATGTGCGATCTTTCATCTCAAGGGCATTTGGGTCAGCTCTCCACTTCAGCAGAATCTATGACAAAGCCAAAGGATAACAAGGTGTAATATTAGGTGTAATTATTTAGAAAGCCTTTCATGATCACCAGTCAGCAAGCCACAGGTTCATTATCACTAACTCAAGTCTTGTGGCTCATAAGCATTAGTTATTTGAATATTTTAATCCATTTGACCCCTGTGACTTTGAATTTGAATCCAGGTTATTTATTTGAACAAAACCATAACTCTAGACTCTGAGTCAATCAGAAGAAATTGTTTGAAGGCTATAACAGTGATGTTTGAAACAAAATGCGGTCACAATCTGTGGAGCCTTTTAGGAGGAGCAGAATTTAAAAGCAAAAAAAAACTAATTCACAGATTTTAATCTCTCTGGCTTCAAGAGGCACAAAAACTCTAGTTACAACATGTGACTGCTTTTCCTCAGTAATGTTTAAAACAAAACATGTTAACAATAGACTCAGTCCTTCAGGAGGAGGAGTCTGTTGGACGATAAAATTTCATGACATGCCTTATATTTGGCACATCATTTTCCCAACAGGGTTGTACAAACTTCTTTTATACAACAAATGATTACTTTACCTGAGACATGTTTTTTTCAAAATCAAGTAAAAATATGTGTAGTTCTTAAGGAAAAGTAGCCTTTAAAGATTAAATCTAATTTAGGCCTATTTTGGGCCCCTTCCCCCCATCATATACAATGCAGGGGATCACATTAGTTTCATTGATACAACATATCCCCTTCGCAGGTTTTGGGAAAGAATTGGTATAGCTTTCCTGTTTTCTGTTTCCTACTCTCTCCTTTTGGTGGGAGCATCCTAGGCACTTGTCTTCATATGACCATAGCTGTTTGGAGGATGTTACCCCCCCCCCCCCCCCCCCCCCCCCCCACATAATGTCCTTGTCCTATTGATATTAAATGCTAAATTTTTATCTGGTTAAAATTCACCACGCCTTTTAGGAGAATTAGGCTTTAAGAGGCCAAAATGCAATTTCCCCCCTATTTGACCCGGGCCCCTCAGCCCCCGGTTTGATTTTCATAACCAAAAGATGCATCATGATAAATTTTGTTGAGATCCTATATGGAGGAATGAGGTTTTAAAGGAAAAGTTTGACCGCCAATGAAAACTAGGTCATTGCATAACTCTGTCGCTCCTTTGGACCAGTGGGCAGGTGAAAAATCCCAAACAAGGTCCATAAAGTGTTACCCGATCATTTTTAGGCTATTTACCCAAGCGAAAATGTGATAAAGTATAAATTTACCAATATGTATAATCAAAAATGTCTTTCTGACTGTGTATTGGCTTTTACAATATGATATTGGGGAGAGACCAACATATCTATAGAACATTTCCATCCATGAAGAGGATTTGATTCTATAGCACATCTGAGTCTGAAGAAGATTATTTAAATTTTTGCCAATTTGACTTCGTAAGGTCAGACCCATCTGGAGGATAAATTCTTATCCCCATCCCAGGTTTATGATTATTGCCAAATTTCATCCAAATCTGAGAGATAGTTTCTGGAAGAAGTAAAAAAGATCACTGTTTCAGATTTACAATAAGTGACCACCAGTATGAGCCTCCTGAGAGTCAACCTTTTCTTGAGCATAAATTCTGATCCTCATCATCAAGGCAAACTTTTAAAGAAATTTTGGTGAGAATCCACCTTCAAGTTTCACAAACTCTTTTGAAAGGTTTTCAGTCTGTGACCCCTCAACCCCCTGGAGAGTCAGCCTCATCTTGAATATAGATTCTGTTCCCCAACATGGGCTTTTGCTCCCCTCCCAATCCTCTTCACTAGTATAAATTCCAATTCTCATCATATACACATCACTTTATGAAAAGTTGGTGAAATCCACCAGTACATTTTGCAGAAGAAGACTTTTGAAGGTTTTGCACTCTGTGACCCCTCAGCCCCTAGGGAGTCTGCCTCATCTTGAGTATAAATTCTTATACCCACCCTGGGCGCATGATTACTTCTAATTAAGTTTCAACAAAATCTGACAAGACAGTGTGTGAGGAGAGATCTAAAGAGTGGTTGTTTATGCATGACGAAGGATGTAAGGCAACTGCACTAGGTTACCTGAGTTACATAATAAAACATTGTGGACAGCCATTTAAAACACTCCCCTACCATAAATCTTTTCAACACTGAAGTGCAAAAAATTCCACAGTTATTTGTTTAGACTACACTTTAACAAGCACGATCATTTAATTGTTTTGGAGACAGTGTGAAGTGTCAGTAAACATCCATTGAACAATTACACTGGTTAAATATACCGATCCATGAGCATGACTGTTGCGTAATATAATATACACAGAGCTAGACAATAAGGGTACACTGTAGCCAGATGGTCTGAGGCTAAGTGGATGATATCTCCTGCTGGACTAGTGGTTCTAAAACCCACTAGCCCAACTGACTAGTAGTCAAAGTGTGATATTACTTAACATTTTGAATCAATATGGGGTTAGCGGAATTTGCGCATGGACTGATAAAACTGGAAATTACTAGCCTGAATTACTAGTGGTTTTAAAATTCTATTTCTACCCCAATACCTACATGACTAGTACTTTTGTGTTACACAATACCATTATAGAGGTTTTCCTGAATGTTTATCACAATTATAAACACTTTTATTTGTTCAATCATGTGCACATTGCTTGCTTAAATGTATAAAAGTGATTGTAAGCCTTTGTTTTTTGTTTTCACAATTATAACCATTACTATTATCCATATGTTGTAAAGCGCTTTAGAGTAATTTTACAAATTATATAGGGCGCTATATAAATGTTGTATATTATTATTATTGTTATTATAATTGATTGGTACCTAGATAAACTTGTGCCATATTCAAATCAACTCAATCTAAAACTTAATATGACAATTTCACAACTAGATATATATTTTTTTTCTTTCTGGAAAACACAGCAGACTACCATCTTGGATATGAATTTGTATTAGGATTCTACCAGATGTTAGAAAATTACACAAGATATTCTTCTACGGACTTAAAATCTGACAATTACTATAACCTGAAATTTAGAAAATAAAAGCTGCAGCTTATTTTCTATTTCAATAAGAAATCCTTTCAGCTTAGTTTTTAATCTGGCTGTCATTCATTGATCAAAATGAACTATTAGTATCTGATTTGCATATAATTCATAACTAATGCTGCTTTTAAGCTAAAAATATCAACTGTCCAAATTGGCTAGCAGATAACCAGCGCAGGAGGTACTGATATAAAAGTTGGCAAATGTAGGTGACAAAGTGTATGAGATATCATACCCCAAAACAAGCATTTCACCATGAATGGCCAGAATATATATAGGACAAGCTTTGTATAGAGTGGGACACAAGGCCTGAGTTTAGTTGTCCAGACAGTGTTGATGTATGGAATGGGCATAACTTTGTCAATAAGTGTTGAAATGAAAGTTTAACTGCATAAGTTATCACCTTACCTTTTATGATGCTAAAGTGTTCGAAGTTTCATATTAACACAAATACAGTCCTTCAGGAGAAGTAATCCAGATAAAGTTGTGTCTTCAGGCAGATGGAAATTTATTTTAGTTTACCATGATTTCTTACTTTTTAGTTATAGTCCATTGTCCCTTAGTCCGAATTATTCTGACGTTTTATCGACTTTTTTCATATCGGTCTGTAATCGACGACAGACCGATATGAAAAAAGACGATAAAACGTCAGAATAATTCGGACTAATTGTCCCTTTGGGTCCTCATTAGACAACAATGTTGAAATGATATTGAAACCCTATTTGCTATAGATCTTTCCTACCAAATTTTGTTTAAAAAAATCCAATTAATGATGTTCTGTGCAATTAAAGAACTACTGATATACAATACCTTTACAGTTTCCAGGTTTTCTTTGGAGCAGGCATCATGAAGTAGGGAGTATCCAGACTCTGGGATGAAACTGTTGATGCTACATCCAGACTCCAGAAGGAAAACCACCATAGCAACATGATTATTGGAGACAGCATAACTAATGGCTGACTTCCTGTTGGTAAAAAAATGACCAATCAGAATAAATTTCACATATATATGTTCATATAAATTATATACACAAAAAAAAAAGTTCTATTTACACCAATGCCACATCTTGAAAGACACTTTTCCTTAACATTTGAACAAACAAATGTTTGATATGGGTCTAATAGATAATATAACATGAAACCTAGAAATATTGTATAATATTTCAGTAATAAACACAATGAGCTCTGTACCGTTAATATATAGATTTGAGATTAATATCAGAAACAGAGACCTACCCATAATCATCCACTTTGTCTTTCTGGCAGTCATGACTTAGCAGAAGCTTGACTATGTTGAAAGAGTTTTGAATGACAGCTTGACTGATTGGAGACAGTCGAGGGTAAAACGGAGGAATCTTGGCTTGTTGATCTACATCACAGCCATTGTTGATAAGCAGTTTGCAAATGTCCAGATTTTTCTATAATTTAAAAATACGAAATGAAAGATGTCATACCAATGTATGGGTGGCTATATTTTGGTATAGCAGGGACAATGAGAGATATAGATAACACAAAATTATAACAAAAACAAAACCAGCATCGTACAACATCACTGAGTAGTGTCGGGTCACCAGATTCTGAACCCTCAAGGCAACATTTGCCGAATAAACAAACTAGAGCAAAATCACACAGCTATTTACTTTAATTTTTACCTGGAACATCACCTCCTATATAATGACAATTCAAGACTATTTCAATCCTGTAGGGGACTTCACCTTTGTTTTAGGTTCTTGTGTAAACTTAATGACTCTTATAATTTTTTAAATGACAAAAAAATGTTTTGCAGAACTTTTTATTTTTATTTCCTTTATTCCATGCACATTACTTCCATCTACCAGTATATATAATACGGAGCACAGGAAACGTATCCCAGATTCCAAAATTCTTCCTGTTACTGTTACGGTATAAAAGTAAGCTCATAAAAAATAACCCAGAACTTATAAATACCAAAACTAGCAAAGAAAAATGTTTTCTATGACAACTTTGTGAATGCTCCTTGTCTCTTTAAATACCTCTACCTTCTCAGGGACAATCCTGGAATTTGAAAGCATTGGTCCATTTTCAGCAATTTTTAGTCAATATCAAAATTAGGAGGGGCCATTATATGTAAAATTTAAAGAAAATTGGAACATGGTGGGGTTAATTTCAGTTTAGAGGGGTCAATGGCCCCATTGCCCCTCCAGGATTATCCATGCCTTGTTCTGATTGACTACCTTGGTACATTGCATTTCTGTTCAACCAATAAGACCAAATCTGGTTTACTTTCCATTGCTTTGATAGTTTCATCAGACATGCTAATATCTGAAGGATCAGCACTGCAATGACACTATCCTGCTCAGTGTTGGCTGGCTGCTGAGGCTGAGTATCAGAAACAACAGCTGAAGTACATACAGCACTTGTAACATTACCAAAAACAGTAAATGTTTTTTGTGTTTTTTTCTTAATCTACTGTGGATCAGGTTTATACATTTACCATCATATGGCATTGCCACTACATAACCCTTCAACACTCAAATGGCATACATAATACATGTAGCTATGAATGCAATGACTTGATTATTGATGTCATCATTGTTATGACATCATAATTGAATGTTTGATATCACTGACTCTCCTTGGACAGGTGGCTGTTCTATCCAAACAAAAAGTATATGATAAATACATTTTTTGAACTAAATGCTGAATATTGGTAAGTTAAACCAATTCTATATTAGATGAACCGATTCAAAAATCATGGTAAAACATATAAATATTGAACTGATTTCATCCATCAGCAATATGTAGCCAACTGAACAAAGGCAAATTTAACAAGAATTGCTAGCATGCTTCATAGAATTTGCCTTCGTACTTTGCCTGTGTATATCATCTTTTTAAGTAATGTTATATGTCCTTGCCCCAAAGAGGCTCCAGACCAAATCGTTAAAATACCATTACCAGCATCTCACTGTACCATACACACTAGTTATTTCTACTTCAGCTTTTATCCCTCGCTTTCACCGAAACAGGGGATATTTTGGGTTTGTCTGTCTGTCTGTCATGCTTCGTTTCCATGCAATAACTACAACAAATGTTAACCGATTTTCTTCAAACTTGATCACAGGGTTAAATGCCTTAAGGGCTCAATCAAGTTTGATGACCACTTTCAGCAGACCCCATTTGACGGAGTTATGGACCCTTGAATAATGAAAAACGTCATTATCTGCCGCTCTTTGTTTCCGTATAACTACAACAAATGTTAACCGAATTTCTTCAAACTTGGTCACAGGGTTTAATGCCTTAAGGGCTCGGCCAAGTTTGATGACCATTTTCAGGAGACCCAATTTAGCGAAGTTATGGCCCCTTGAATAACGAATCAGTCATTATCTGCTGTGTTTCGTTTCCGTGCAATAACTACAACAAATGTTAACCAATATTCTTCAAACTTGGTCACAGGGTTAAATGCCTTAAGGGCTCAGCAGAGTTGGATGACCACTTTCAGCGGACCCCATTTGGCTAGTTATGGCTCCTTGAATAAAGAAAAATGTCATTATCTGCCGTTTCTGTTCATTAACTCTCGCAAATATTATCTGATTGGCTTCAAACTGAGTAACAGGGTTCAACGCATTAAGGGCTCGGCCAGGTTTGACAACCACTTTAATCGGACTCCATTTGACAGAGTTATGGCCCCTTGATAACTCAAATAATAGCCAAATTCCTTCAAACTTGATAACAATGTTTGTGTTCCTCTGTCTCTCCACCAATCTCAGGCACTCTTTGGTTTTTGTGTGACAATTGCTGTAGATATTGTTCAGATGTTTCAATCAAATTATGTATGCAAATCCGACTTATGCTAAGTTTACCAACCGATGTGATTTGTGCATATTTACGGATATTATCAATGAGGTGTAGGGCTTTTCTTTCCCTTGAAGTTTCAAGCTATACATTATGTCTCAACAGTTGACCAGTAAGCTCATCCTGGTTAAAGTGACAATATAATGACAGGAGGTCCTTGGTTTGAATCTCAGTCAGGCCTACTCCAACAATGTTAAAGGTTTACACGGCGAGATACTTTTGACAGGCATATCCCATAGAAAAAAGTCCGACCAGCGGCCTCTTATGTTATAGGAGTAAGTCAGGCCCTCTTTCACACTCACTGGTGTGGATTCTCTTCATTAAGTTCATCTTCACTGTTAATAAAAATCTGCATTATCCTTTTTTATAAATGCTTTATAAAAATCCTATAAATATATCGTCTACTAGTCATAGGTTTCCGCACGTTATAAATTTCTGCGCAGCCATTTTATCAAGCTATATCTCGTTACTACATGACCTGCTGCATGGACACTACACAGGGATATTTTAGATGTTTGACCATCGTCTGTAAACTGACGCAAAAATTACCAGAAGTTTGCCTGGAAAACACGTATAAATATGCAGTTTTACTTAATACACTTTTTATCTTGCTCCAAATGAACCCATACATGAAACAAGAGGCCCAATGGGCCTGAATCGCTCACCTGGTATTAATCTCACACTTGTAATCTTAAAAGTGGACTAAAATGCATCTACAGGAAGAATATCAGTGTTTGATTCATAAGAGCCTATTAAAAGATTTAAACATATGACGCCTGTGACCTTGAATGTCGAACAAGAACATTAGGTTGAACAGAGTTTAAAGTCTTCCAACCCAGCATGCTTTTGGCAAAATATCCTAACCCTGGACCTATTGGTTATACAGAACAAGTCATTTAAAGATTTTAACATATATTGACCACTGTGACCTTGAATATGGGCGAAGGTCATTCATTTTGACAAAATTGGTAGCCCTTCATCCCAGCCTGTTAATGACCAAATATCATCGGCCCCTGTGACCTTGAATATATGTAAAGGTCATTCATTTGAATAAACCTGGTTGCCCTTTATCCCAGCATGCTACTGGCCAAATATCATCATCCTAAGACTTTCGGTTATTGAGAAGAAGTTGTTTAAAGGTTTTTAACATATTTAACCCCTGTGACCTTGACAATAAGTAAAGGTCATTCATTTGAACAAACTTGGTAGCCCTTCATCCTGGCATATTACTGGCCAAATATCATTATCCTAGGCCTCTTAGTTATTCAGAAGAAGTTGTTTAAAGGTTTTTAACATATTTGACCCCTGTGACCTTGAATATAAGTAAAGGTCATTCATTTGAACAAACTTGGTAGCCCTTCATTCTAGCATGTTACTGGCCAAATATCATTAGCCTAGGCCTCTTAGTTATTCAGAAAAAGCTGTACAAAGATTTTTTAAGACAATTGACCCCTGTGACCTTGAAATTGACGAAGGTCATTCATTTGAACAAACTTGGAAGCCCTTCATCCCAGCATGTTACTAGCCAAAAATCATCACTCTGGGCATTTTGGTTATTCAGAAGAAGTTGTTTAAAGTTTTTAACATATTTGACCCCTGTGACCTTGAAAATAGGTGAAGGTCATTTATTTGAACAAACTTGGTAGCCCTTCATCCTAGTTTGCTTCTGGCCAAATATCATCACCCTAGGCCTTTTGGTTACTAAGAAGAAGTTGTTTAAAGTAAAATATTAACGCCGGACGCCGGACGGACGGACGACGGACGCTGCACCATGGCATAAGCTCACTTGGCGCTTCGGGCCAGGTGAGCTAAAAACTGATATATTTCATTCATGAACCGGTTATTTTGTAGCCTGACAAACGGTCGAAAATGTCATATGCAAATGAGGCCATATCTCCTTGTCAATTTTTTTCCATTTCCGAAGAGCGAAGGGGACATTCTTACATCGATAACCACTGTTTGCAGTGAAAAGTAAGCCTAAAATGCAATGCACTTTCAATTTGCACCAATTTTAAACAAAAATAAAATGATAAATAACATACCATCAACCAAAACCAATATAAGACTGCACAAAAAAATAATAACAGATTCTATTATACCTAAACAAATTAAATAACATTAATAAAATAACATTAATTCGCTCAAGTTGACATATTGAACAAGAGGCCCAATGGGCCTGCATCGCTCACCTGGTATAAATCTCACACTTGTAACATTAAAAGTGATCTAAAATAAAGCTACAGGCAAAATATCAGTATTTATGATCAAAATTCATTCAAAAGAACCTGTTAATGTTTTTTTAAAACATTTCACCCCTGTGATTGAAAGTCGAACAAAGTCATTATGTTGAACACATTTTATAGCCTTTCATCTCAGGATGCAACTTGCAAAGTATCAACATCCTGGGACCCATGGCTATTCAGAAGAGGTTGTTTAAAGGTTTTAAACAAATATGACCCCTGTGACCTTGAATATAAGTCAAAGTCATTCACTTTAACAAACATAGTAGTCCTTGATCCCAGCATGCTATTGACTAAATATCAACATCCTGAGCATTTTGGTTATTCAGAACAAGTTGTTTAAATAATTTGAACATATGAGCTCCTTGTGACCTTGAATATGATTCAAGGTCAAACATTTAAACAAACTTGGTAGCCCTTGATCCTAGTATGCTACTGACTAAATATCATCACTCTGGCATTTTGGTTACTGAGAAGAAGTTGTTTAAAGTTTTTAACATATTTGACCCCTGTGACCTTGAATATGGGTGAAGGTCATTCATTTGAACAAACTTTGTAACCCTTCATCTTAGCATGCTATTGGCCAAATATCATCACCCTGGGCATTTTGGTTATTCAGAAGAAGTTGTTTAAAGTTTTTAACATATTTGACCCCTGTGACCTTGAATATAGGTGAAGGTCATTCATTTGAACAACTTGGTAGCTCTTGACCCCAGCATGCTACTGGCCAAATATCATCACCCTGAGCATTTTGGTTATTGAGAAGAAGTTGTTTCAAGTTTTTAACATATTTGACCCCTGTGACCTTGACTATGGGTGAAGGTCATCTATTTGAACAAATTTTGTAACCCTTCATATCAGCATGCTACTGGCCAAATATCATCACCCTGTGCATTTTGGTTATTCAGAAGAAGTTTTTTAATGTTTTTATCATATTTGACCCCTGTGACCTTGAATATAGGTGAAGGTCATTCATTTGAACAAACTTGGTAGCCCTTCACCCAAGCATGCTACTGGCCAAATAACATCTCCCTGGGCAGTTTGGTTATGGAGAAGAATATGTTTAAAGTTTTTAACATATTTGACCCCTGTGACCTTGAAAATGGGTGAAGGTCATTCATTTTAACAAACTTTGTGGCCCTTCATCCCAGTTTGCTTCTGTCTAAATATCATCACCCTAGGCCTTTCGGTTATTAAAAAGAAGTCGTTTAAAGTAAAATATTGACGCCGGACGACGACTATATGCTGATAGTTTTTTGTTTCCATTGTATATGGTGTACATGTCTTTGACAGTCATCCGTAATTTCAACAGTTTTCTACCGATATGAGTATGAAATCGCGACTGTTTATTTAGTGCGCGGAAACTGATAACACAAGGATATCGATTCGGTTTTTGGCAGTGGAACGGGAGATTAATCCTTAAGACTTCCCACCCCTCGTAATACACATGCATTTTCGTATTGTGCATCGGGCATTCCATTATCGTAGTGTAAATTATAGTAACACCGGGTAAACAGTAGTACACATGCGTGATGATGATATGTCAACACCCGAAATCGAGACTTACTTGGAAATAAAGCGTATGATACAACGACATAAATTAACTCACGGGAAGACATTGACATACGATCAGACGACTTCAGGAAGGTCGCTTATGAGGTGCATCGAATGCAAACTGATGTGTTTTGTTTACACATCTGTACATTTCACGTGCTAACACTAGTTCACAAGCTCAGGGTCGCTACGATTTTTGTTGTCGAGCTAGTTTCGCTCCGTAAGGTAAATCATTTCACAAATGCTATAACAATAACTCTGTGAAAATAGTGTTTTATAAATATCAAGATCACTATAAAATGCTGCATGTACCATGCGGTAGCCTATGGTTACATATATACATAACATGTAAATATTCCAGGCGTAAGCGGGCTAATAATGGATAAAATGACCGAGTAATGATGAATTGAATTTTTCAATCGCGGCGTGGCACATGTGTGTACTAGCATGTAAAGTGTAGAAAGCGTCGCCAGATAATACCGTTACAGTTACCTGCTAAAGTAAGCGACATCAAAAGATATGTTGTTAGTTAGACTTTTATTGATATATATTCCAAATTTCAGCTCGATATTTGAAAAAATTATCAAGTTATGATAAATTTATTATTAAGATCGGCGGCGTGGCATACGTGTGTGAATAGAGCTCAACATATGAAGAAGCGTCTTCAGAACATATATCTAAAATTCATCGATTAAGTAAGCGACATCAGAAGAAATGTTTTTAATGTGAATATAATACGCCTCTATATAAAATTTCAGTTAGATATATGAAAAAACTGACCGAGTTATCGTGAATTTATTATTTTACTATCGTCGGCTTGGCACGATGTACAGATATAAAGCTTAACACTCTGCCACATATGTGTACGTATATATAGATACATAGGGTAGCTATAGGGCTTTGCATAAGTGAACACAGTTAGATTATATTGCTATATAAACATTGATACCCCTTCAATCAGCTGTGTCAAGAATATAATTATTGTATATATTGAACAATTTATATTTTAACTGTAACCGATTAAGAATACATATATACATATAAAATATATTATTTTATTATAAATAATTTAGTGGGATGGGGATGGGAATGCGTAATTTTCGAGTTTCTCAGGACTTTTTGAGAAAGATGGTGGCCCTGAAAAGGGCTGTTTAAGCAGGCGACTAGCGCAGTCTTTGACAGTACAACGCTAGTTGAAGCTGTCTGGCATACCGCGAAGTGATCCAGTCCTGGCCTTCTCCAATCTGGGTGATTGAATCGAGATTGCGCAATGCTGCAATTCCAAAAGGTTGGAAAAACAACAATTGCGAATTGATGAACCACATCATCAAAACTTCTAGGGGACTGGAAAATATCAAAGGTTCCCGAGCTGATTCAGCGTTTGGATACCATTCTACAATCGCAGTACTCCGACGTACGTAGATCGTTGCATGGTACTGGAGACTATAAATTGGCCGCCCAAGCGCAGCATTTCAAGTTGAGCACAGTTGTATGGTGCGAATTGTCAATGTTTGATAAAGCGCGCAAAGTTGACAAGTTCCTAAAGTATGTGTGGAAGAAAACAGACTTTTTAACATCTACGAATGGTATGTTAACAATACCTAAAACCGCAGCAATCGCCAAAAACCAGGGACGTGAAATCGTGTTTGCACGAATGGCACCGAAACGCACTGTCCTCTTAAACAACAATAGTTGTAACTTAGTTACCTGATGACAATAACGCTAAATGAAGAACTTTTTTACGCTTTCACAACACTTGTGTGCAGGACGGGATTCAAGATGTGAAATTTATTGACATTTGATTTTTTTACGAGTTTGAACAGAGAAACAGTTATTCTTACGTATACAGACAAAATGTATTTGATTATATGAAATACCGATATTTACACCTGTGTGCCAGTTAAGAAGTTTAAAACGATTGTATTTTTCAGCTGTACCTTTACAACAATAACCATTAAAATTTAGTGTAGTCTTCATTTAAACTTATAGGAACTTAGGGATTTTTTTAAACACCAACCTTAAATCGATTTGTCACACGAACATATAACGGACTCTGAGTAGAACCACGTCCACAGGGTCTGGTAACATGCTCGTTTCAAGAGTGTGGCTGAGAGTTCTACAATATAATTTGGTCTAACTGTGTTCACCTATGCGAAGCCCTACCCTACGTACACATATGTGACACGGCGTATAGCTTCGTAAAATCGTAAAATTAAATTCAAGATAACTTAATCATTTTTTAACAAATCTACCTGAAGTTTGGTATAAAGGTGTATCATAGTTATATGAATAACATATCTTCTGATGTCGCTTACTTAATCGATTAATTTTAGAGATATAGTTTGAAGACGCTTCAAAATCTGTCGAGTTCTATTCACACACGTGTTCCAAGCCGTCGATCGTAATAATCAAAAACATCATTACTCAGTCATTTATTCAAATTTCTACCTGAAGTTTTTAGTATAAAGGTGTATCATAGTTATACGAATAACATATCTTCTGATGAACCTTACATTATAGGTTAATATTAGAGATATTGTCTGAAGACGCTTTACAATCTGTAGTGTTCTATTCACACACGTATGCCACACCGCCGATCGTAATAATAAATTAATCATAACTCGATCATGTTTTCAAATATCGAGCTGAAATTTGGAATATATATCGATAAAAGTCTTACTAATAACATATCCTCTGATGTCGCTTACTTTAGCGAGTAATTTTAACGATATTATCAGGCGACGCTTTCTTCACTTTACATGCTAATACATGTTGATGTAGTTGTAAAAAAACACGTGTACATGTGCCACGCCGCAATCGTAAAATTCAATTCATCAATTTTTCAAATATCAAATTGAAATTTGGTACAGAGGTGTATTATTGTCATATTAACAACATATCTTCTGATGTCGCTTACTTTATTCAGTATTTTTGAAGAGTTTGTCTGGCGACGCTTGTTGTAACTTGAAGACGCTTGTTGTCGGTTGAAGACGCTTTTAAGTGAGACCACTTTTATCCATACAATTTCAATAAAAAGCACTTGGTGTAACGTGTTTAAGGTATTTTATGATAAATACAATATTTGTGGGGTTGATAAGCAATGTTTCTTTTCATTATTTTATTGTTGTAATACATATTGTAGTTTTGAACTGCCACTCACTCCAAAAATGTGAAAGTGATAAATTTGACAAAAATTCAATTTTTCAGTATTTTTTACAAAAAAATCCCCAGTTTATCGGAATGCTTAGATTGTCATAATAAAATCATTTCTACATAGTGACATAACCATTAATTGAATTCTGCTGGTTAATTGCAAAAAGGTGGAGCCTCCTTAATTAAATACGGTGAATTACATAGTAGAAGGTGACGTTAGCTAAACTCATCAATGAAAGTATTAACCTTGATAACAGCCGAACACAAAGCTGTTTCGTGTTTATCATTTGCTCCATTCAAAACACTTCGGATGTCTGCTTTGTTCTGTTTAATGACTTCTATGTAGTTTCGCACTTGTTCCACTTCGTTGGATTTGACAGCTTCGATTAAAGAAATAACATCTTTGTCAACGTTGACCACATTGTCTAGCCGACACGAAAAATCGATGACAGGATACAGTTTTGGTCGAATATCACAGTCGACAAATTTGTAGAGAAGCGGCATTTTAAATCCAACACTAATTCATCCTCCTCTTGATAACCTCTCAACAACAGTCTATTGTGCTCGCTGGGTCCGGTCCGTATAGTTTCATCAGCCGAACTCTCCAATATATGAAAGTAGTAAAGGTAGTCAGAAGGGGACGTGCTAAATACAAGAATAAACCTGAACAAAAGCCTGAAAGGACCTGAACATGGATATATAAGATAAAAAAATAAAAAAAATACCTAATAAGGGCCTACTTCAGGTATTATATGCAACATTTAAGGGTTAGCAAATGTTAAATGAAATGGGGGATATCAAAACATAATCGATGCATATTTACAAAACACAATCTAAATACTGTGATAAATCTGTGATTATTATGCAATTGAAATCTGTGATCATATGTGATATTTGTACCTGTATCTTGCTTTTACCGAATAAATATTATTATAAAGAGTGAAAATTAGCATTGCAAGGAATTAGAATTAGAAGGTGACGTTAGCTAAACTCATCAATGAAAGTATTAACCTTGATAACAGCCGAACACAAAGCTGTTTTGTGTTTATCATTTGCTCCATTCAAAACACTTCGGATGTCTGCTTTGTTCTGTTTAATGACTTCTATGTAGTTTCGCACGATTAAAGAATTCCAGAGTCTAAGAAAAAAGGGTAAACTTCTCGAGGCAATTATAGAGTCAACAGATCCAGACATAATAATAGGCACTGAAACGTGGCTAGATCCAAACATAAAATCAAATGAAATTTTTCCTGACTACTTAGACTATGACATCGAACGAAGAGATCGTCCCAAAGACCCACATGGGGGAGTAATGATAGCAGCAAAACAATCATTACAATTAGGGAGCATAACAAGAAGCACAGAGATAGAACTACTAACTGGTACAATCACCCTAGAAGGAAAAACGAAAATGCTTATTGGTGCTTTTTATCGCCCTCCAGATAAAACAGATGACATCTACCTAAATAAAGTTAAGGAAGAAATAAATACCATCAAAGCAAAACATAAAAAAAAAATCTTCCTAGTTGGAGGCGACTTCAACCTACCAGATATTAATTGGCAAGAACAGACCATCACACATAGACAGTACCCAACAAAAACCAGTCAAGCTTTTTTAGACACCGTAGCTGATAATGGATTAGAACAAATTGTAGACTTCCCAACACGCAAAGAAAACACCTTGGATTTAATGCTTACCTCCCATCCATCATTCAAACTAAGATGTAAACCTTTACCATCAATAGGAAACAGCGACCATGACATCGTCCTTCTTGATATGGCATGCAAACCTTTAAAACCAAAACCAGTAAGAAGGAAGATATACTTGTGGAAAAAAGCAGACATATATAAGATAAAGGAAGACCTGGAAACCTTCAAGAAATCTTTTATAAACATCAGCGACAGAACTATAGAATCCATGTGGCAAAGCTTCAAATCAGAAATTCAAAAAACCATTGAGAAGCGAGTACCAACAAAAATGACTCAAGGTAGACATACTCACCCATGGATGAACACAACAATAAGACGCAAGATCAACCAAAAACAAAAAGCACATAAGAAAGCTAGGAAAACCAAAAAGAAAAGAGACCAAGACAGATACAAGAGACTAAGACAATAAGTACAATGGGAAATCAGACAAGCCAATAAGAAATACATGGAAGAAGTCAGCTCCAATTACAAGGATAATCCTAAGAAATTCTGGTCCTATATTAAAAGCAAAGGACAAGAATGGACAGGAGCAGCACCATTAAAGAACAAAATGGGATTCCTCCAAAGCGATAACAAGAGCAAAGCTAACATCCTTAATGACCGATTCCAGTCTGTATATACAAAAGAAAACCTTAATAACTTCCCAAATAAAGGGAAAAGTCCATATACCACCATGGAGGATATACAAATCAATGTGAAAGGAGTTCACAAAGTATTGAAGAACCTTAAACCACACAAGGCAACTGGACCAGATGCTATACCATCCTGTATACTAAAGATAGCAGCAGACCAACTTGCTCCAATTCTTACAGAACTGTACCAAGCATCCCTCAACACCGGAAAAGCCCCTCAAGATTGGAAAGATGCAAATGTAGTCCCACTCTTCAAAAAGGATGAAAGACATCTAGGATCAAACTACAGACATGTATCACTTACCTCAATTACATGCAAAGTCCTGGAACACATTATACACAGCAGTGTAATGGACCACTTTGACAATAACAAAATAATTACAAACGCACAACACGGATTCCGCAAACGACGATCTTGCGAATCCCAACTAATCACCACCATTCATGACATTGCATCGAAATCAAAAAATAACAGCCAAGTAGATATCATCCTACTAGATTTTGCAAAAGCGTTTGATAAAGTGCCACACCATCGCCTACTACATAAACTTGAGTATTACGGAGTAAACCCTAAAACAAACAAGTGGATAAGATCCTTCCTACAAAACAGAACGCAAAGCGTTATCCTAGAAGGAGCTGTCTCTGAACAGGTCCCAGTACTCTCTGGTTTACCTCAAGGGACAGTTCTTGGACCTCTGCTGTTCCTAGCCTACATAAACGACATGCCAGATTCAGCAAAATCATCAGAGACCAAACTATTTGCGGACGACAGCCTCCTCTATAGAACCATAAGCAACCAAGCAGAAAGTGATCTACTGCAGAAAGATCTAACATCATTAGAGGACTGGGAAAATAAATGACAAATGAGCTTCAATGCGAAAAAATGCATTGTAATCCGAATACAATCCAAGAACCGTCCTCTAATACCAACCAACTACCAACTGCATGGACAAAGACTAGACACCTGGAAGCTAGCAAATACCTAGGAGTAACAATCAGCGATAACCTAACCTGGGTCAGACATATTGACAATATAGTGGGTAAAGGCAACAAAACACTAGGTTTCATAAAACCTAAAAGATTGCACTAAAACGGTTAAAGCAGCAGCATATTCAACAATAGTAAGACCTTCAGTTGAATATGCATCCACGGTATGGGATCCAACAAAACAGACCAAGATAAAGGCAGTCGAACGAGTGCAGAAAAGAGCAGCCAGACTTGTAAACAACAACTATACAGACCGCACACCTGGCTGTGTAACAAACATGGTAAAATCATTAAAATGGGAAAGCCTTGAAGACCGCAGAAAACAAAATAGGCTATCCATGCTGTTTAAAATACAACATGATCTAATAGACATAGATCGGCAACAATATCTGACGCCAAATGATAGCCGGACCAGAGGTAAAAACCGCTTCTACCAAGAAAGGGCTACAACAGACGCCTTCGGCCAATCATTCTTCCCAAGGACCATCACGGACTGGAACCAACTACCAACATCAGCGACATCAGCCAACACAGTTGAAGGATTCAGAGCTGCACTGCAGGCATGCTCTGCTAAAATCTAGACAGTAACATCCTGTACATAATTTTAATTTTATACATATAGAGAACGTTTTAATGTAAATAGCCAAGAGAATACTTTCTGTGTTGTCCGACACTGCGCAAAGTTCTCGCGAAACCAAATACATTCATTTATTGAATTCGGTTCCTTACCTGGAAGAAGAAGAAGAATTAAAATCCAATCGAACTAATTCGGGTCGGCCATTACTGGCGTTCGTTTACCGACCCGACTATCAATCCAAAAGTATCGTGATAACATTTTATATCAGTTTAAAGGTAATCAAAATAACTAGGTTAAAGTGGATGCTGAACGAAAATCGGTTCCGTATTAGGTCAAGAAAAAACCACAATGATGTTTTTCATCATTTTTTCCAGTTAGATATCGATTCATTCCGGCCATCGGTTTTGCAATCAGTTTATAAGGCGTGTTCAAACATTTGATATCATCTTAAAGAGTACAAAATTACCTTGTCTAAAATGGTCACTGATCAAAGAAAAAATGTTCAGCATTCATCGAGATTATGTGTATTTGAACGAAAACAGCTGAAAATATTGTCATTTTTATTTCATTGTGGTTTCATTCCGGCCCCCAGTTTTACCTTTAATTCTTTTTTTTTATCATAACTAATTATTGTGAGAAAACAACCCCATAAAATTATCTTTCCTGCACTAGTCATCAAATAAATTTCCATTAGACACTTAGGGAGATATGGCATTATAAATTCTTAAATCTCTTCATTTTTGAGTGCATTCCGGGTTTTACGCTCTACCTTCCAAGATGGCTGCGCCCATGTGGGGCGCGTCTAATTACCCAATACTACCCAATACCACCCAATACTACCCAATACTACCCCATACGATCCAGTTATGAACCAAATACTTCTTTATTACTGTGAAATATCACCTTTGTAGACGTTATTTACTTCCATCTGCCATATTTTATCGGGAAATATGCGATTTGGTGCCGAAAACATCACCGAATTGCCGTGACTATGACC